CATGCACCAGGAAGTCCGTACTTCACTTCCTGATATCCTTTTCCACACACTCTTTCGTCACCAAATCAGTGTGAGAGCAAATGAGGCAAGATTCTAGACTCAAATGTGTGGCTCCTGAAGCCAGTTTCAATGAGGATTGTCTACCCGGATTTAGTGGGTCACAAGGAAATATTCTAACACTGTGCCTTTTACCCATGGAAAAGACATTTCCTTCTGGAGGATAAGTTCTCAGATCTGGGTTCAAAATCTTAGCAGAGGCCTTGGGAAAATGCTAGAAGGCCGATGCCAGCAAATCGATGAAGTTCATTAGTGTTTGCATAACAGAGAGAGAGTAGGAAGCTCCTCTGCTAAGCTTATGGGTCAGTGAATAATATGCAGGTTTGGTGACCCCATTCTTCTCTCACAAATAAAGAAAAAGGAGAATGTGAGGTGAGGGGAGAATAGAAAAATGTTGAAGTGGTGGGTCTAGATCTTATAAATAACAAACTGTGGTGAACACTTATTGAATCTGGGGAGTCTGCCTAACTCGCTGGACCCCGTGAACCTGATAGATGCGGCCTGAGCACTGGGCAACTGGTAGTTCAGAGGAAAGGAGAGGAAACCGGCTGATGAGAAGAGAGGATGAGAACCACAAGGGATGCAAACCTCTCTGCCCAGACCAAGCCTGATGCTATAGGTTGCCAAGAAGTCTTGCACTGCTATCCTCCTAACCTTTAAGATAAAAATGATTTGTCATGTAGACGGACCATGGGCTTTTTCTGATAGGAAAAAGATACTCAGCTGGATGCATAACCCATGAACCAGAGACGGGCCTTAGGAATTGCTCTTAAGACTGAACACAAAATTTTGCATGTATGTTAAGTATGTGCATTTTTCTGGGGAGAGGGTTCATTTTCAGTTTTTAAAAAAAGGTTCAAGTCAACATAGACATAGAATGTGATTTTTAAAATCCAGTATTATTACCCTTTCTGTTCTGCCTCTTCTTAATTATCCAACAGGTGCCCAAGGAATTTAAATTTCAAATATTTCCAAAAACAAAATTAAGTAAGGTTTAAGAGTTGGCAGTGAATTTTGAGAATGCGTCATACCTGCTAACGCTAACTTTCACACACTCCCTAAAGCTCGGGAAGACAGAAAAGATGATCTGTTGTTAAGGATGAGTACAACTGACCTGAAATAGATTAATTCACACGGTAGCAGCTGGAATCAGTTCCGTCACTCCCAGTGATAGAAGAGGCCACAGGAGAGCATGAAAGAACATTTGAGCAGGAGAACAGAGACCAGGAGTCCAGTCTCTAGTCCTAGCCCCACCTAACTCCATCTGTGACTTTGAACAAATCCCTTCCTCTGGGCTTGGGTTCTCATCTGTAAAATGCAGGTTACTGAAGCAGAGCAGTGGTCTGCAAACTCTTTTAAGACAATGAACATTATGTTTAGATAAAATCATCCAGAATTCATCAGAAGCTAAAACAAATTTAAAATGGCAGGTTGAACATACCCATTTATTTCTCCTCTCTCTAGAAACCCCATCGTTATTATTCATAAATATCTGCTGCGACTGAGCATTTACTACATGATTGTTTTAAGTGCATTAACTAATGGAATCCCTAACATTCTTATTAGGGAGGTGATGATGCCCATCTTACAGATGAAGGAACTGAGTCCCCAGCGTTTAAGGAACTCTTAAGCATTTAACTAAGTTTCCACAGCTAATAAGTGGCAGAACCAGGATTCCAACCCAGGCAGTCTGGCTTGAGTCTATGCTATACCACCTCTCAAACTGACAATTAAGGAACAGCAAAGCTCCCAAGGAAAAAGAAGCAGAAACAAAGAGAGCAGATCAAAAATATCACCAAACTTTGGAAGATGAGTAGTGACGGACTTCGATGGAGAACACTGAGTGCTGCACATGACAAGCCACTTCAGAGGCCCTTCCAAACCTCAACTGTTGGAGACTCAGGTTTCCTCTGAAGGTGTGAGCATAAGGAAGGCTGAAGTCAGGCAGTACTGGTCAGTACCCCAGCAGAAGACTGGAGGTTTATCATCTGGACAGGATGAACTAGAGACTCTAGACTTGGGCAACCAGGGAACCAACCACTGAAGACAAGGAAGTGGCACCATTCAGGGGATTAAATGAAAGTCTGCATACAGAAGCAAGAGCCCCAGTCCCCTCCCATCATAAGGTTCCTAGAATGATAACAACCAATCTTATTCCACTCAGGCAGAAGCCTGAATGAAGGTCCATGGACTCTGAACATACCGCATTGAAAAGGGCAGGTCCATCACCCTACAGTTTTGGCTCTCAGAATGTGGCCCCAGGCCAGGAGTAGCATTACTGGGGAATTTGTCAGAAATGTAAATTCTCAGGCCCATGCCAGACGTACTGAATAAAAAATTCTGGAGTGAGGTCCATCAACCAGTGTGTGAACAGGCCACCAGGTGATTCTAATACTTGGTAAAGACTGAGAAGCACTGCCCTAGCCCACTAGTCAATAAATCCATCCCACACCAAAGAGCTTCCAACTGACTTTTCAGTACCTATTTATTTGGAAGACAGTTCGGAAACATCAGAAGTTTCAGGAAAGACTCTATCCTGAGAGAAAGAGAGAGAGAGAGACCAAAACAGATTTCACAGAGCAGCTCTAGTGAAGGGGGGTGAAATGAAGGACAGCCTGGTTTGTTTGGCCTCTCCCTGGCCCCCACCATCACACTGCCATGAGCTACTCCTCAGGCTGTACAGAAGAGTTAGAAAACCAATGAAGCAAACGCTCTCTAGGTCCTGTCCAGCTCTACCTGTCCCTTTATACCAGTCCTTATGTCCCAGATGCTTAAAACACAGCAATTTAGACAGACACTCTCAGTTGGAACTACCTCTGATAATTTTCTTGTCCCTTTGAATGAACAAAAAGCAGTGTAATGGAAAAAAAAAAATCATACAAGCATTGTTATGCTAAAGGGTTGTTATATTCTGTATTTGCATTAAATGCATAGGCAAAACACACTGCTTCAATCTATGTAGGAAATATCTGTAACCATCCCCCTCTATCATACCCTTTTTGCTTCTCTGTCTCACAAGCTTTCCCTGGCTCACCCTTACAGCCTAAATCTTAACCCCCAAATTCTCCCCTATTACTGCTTTTCACCAGTCTCTACTCACTCCAAGTGTTACTGCCACAACCAGATCATTCTTCTGCTTACAAACCTCTAGTAGCCGCAACATCTTCTACCATGTTATCACCATGGACAAAAATCTCTCATTTATATTTACTTCCTCTGCCTCCTTTAGTCCAGCTCATTTTTCTCAAACCCCTTGGTTCCCCGCTGAAGGCCCTTTTCCTCTCAGGCCACCTCACTCCTCTCCTAGAAGACCAACCTCCTTCGGAGAATGAAAAACTTAAGCCAGGCATCATGCAAAGAATACTACAAATTTTCTCACTGAATCCTCACACTAATACTGAGAATTAGAAATCATCCCCGTTTTTAAATTTGGAAACCTGAAGCTTAGAGAGATTAAGAAACTTGCCCAAGGTTATCACTAGGATTTTAATCCAAATCCTTCCATCTCCACACACTTAAGCATTCTACTCTCCTGTCTCCAGAGGTCAGACTCAAATACGGGAAGAAGAAAAGTTTCCTTAATTCTGCAGAAAACAAGCAGGGCGAAAAGATCTCTGCATGTGTATATATATTTCATGTGGTCCTCCACAGATGCTGAGAGCCTTCCAGCCAAAGCCCAACAGGGAACACAATTCACAGCAGCACCTTCCCACGTGGAGGGCTCCAGAGGGCTCAGGATTTAGGCCAAGGAGCAGCACAGCATGCCTCTCCAGCAGGAACGGATGCAGTGCACGGGAGGAAGCCTGGCTCTTGGGCCCAGGATGCCAGTAGGGAACAGGTGGTTAAGGAATCCCTCTCCTCCCCACGAAGACCCAATCCATCCTCCGAGACCTTTGTGGAGGTGGTGGTGGTGGCGCACCTTCCAGTGGGGGGCAGAGTAAATGCCCACCTCAAAAGATATCCAGATCCGATTTTAAAAGCTCTTAAGAAACAAGGTAGTAATCTAACCATCAAGGGCAAGCAATGACTCCTAAGAAGAAGCCTGCGCCTTACGACGGCACAGCTAACTTCGAGGGGCACAAAGAAATGTCTACGGTGACAAGAGAGGGTGCTTCACTGGTGCCCATCGGAATGTAGAGGCGGCCACCGCCCCCTCCTCTCCAGAGGGGTTGCAAGTCCATTTTCTCCCGTCTGTGTGACAGAACAGGGAGGCGGGCACCCCAATGTCTCCCACCCCGAGGGCCTCAGCCGCGCTCCTCTCAGCCTGTCCTTCTAAGGGCTGAGAAGCTGTCCCTGTCCGTCTCCCCACTCAGCCCCAATTCCCCTCTCCCACTCCGCAACTCTCTCTCCCCTGCTCGGTCTCCCTCCAACCCCCTTGCCCCGCCGCTCTGCCCGCTAGACCTCTCTTCCCCTACCCCCCGCCCTTCTTTCCTCCCCACTCGGTTCCTTATCCCTCAGTCCCACGCTGCCCAGCCCTCGGTACCTTGAGCGTCACGTCGCACAGCTTGCCTTGCCGCCGGATCTCCTCCATGACGCCGTAGCCGCGACTAGGCAACTCGGACACGGAGAAGTGCACCAGGTCCTCCAGCTCCTCCGCGCCGTCCTCCACCATCTTCCCCGGCCACCGCGACTGCGCAGGCCTGGCCGGCCGGCTCGATATTAAACAGGGCGGGGCGAGGGCCCGCGCGGTCCGCCGCCCGGAGCGCGGGGCTGGAAGCAGACGGGCCTGCGCGGCTGCCGTAGTCTCAGGCTGCTCTGCGCCGGAAGCCCCGCTGCCCCGTTTCCTGGTGCGAGCTTAGCCTTCGTTCCCTCGCCGTCCCGACCGTGCTTTCGTGCGTGCAGCTGCCGCGGTCTTTCTAGATTAACCGGTCCCATCTCCCGTCTTCCCGATTCGGCCCTGGCCTTAATCGTTTCTCGACCCAGGCCGCGGACTTCATTTCCGCCACTACCCCGATACTTCCGGGATCTGCGGAAACGGCCCGTTGCCATGGCGGCTATGTACACAGTTCTGCAGCGGCGAGTGCGGGCTTGCAGTCGCTGCGCAGGCAGCGGAAGGCGGCGGGAGGGCCACTGCCTCCGGGGCGGTGAACAGGGGCCACGCTTCGCCCGGGTGAGGAGAAGCAAGGCTCGAGAGGGGCGGGCAGCGACTAGGATCCGAACACCGCTCCACCCGGGAGTCCCCCGGCTTAGCTCGCTGATCTGTGAAACCCGAGCGGAGGAGAGGGCGCCGCATCGTGGGGACCCTTTCCGGCTGGCTGCGACTTAGGGTCTTTGAATCTAACGTTCCCTGGCCGCACGAGGGCTCTGCGTCGCTGCCTAGGTTGAGAGGGCCCGAAGTGGGGAACCAGAGGTCTGGACAGTTTTCGAACTGGAGGGGGCTTCAGGATCGCCAGGTCGACCCGCTCGCTTTACAGATGAGGAAACCGCTCCAGAGAGGGACAGGAATGGTCCCAAGGCCAACTGCCTCCCACAATCCACAAAGGGGTCCGGTATGTTGGGTGAGGAAAGGGGAGAAAGCCAGTTCTGCCTGGAATCGAGGCCTGGTGCGTTTGGACCCTGTTGTTTTGGGGTTCATATGCTGCCGCCGCTCTGATAACTATGAGGGTTCCGTATGAGAGCTCCTGGTCTGGGCAGGAGCGCTGGAAGCTAGGGACTCGTCCCAGCAGACGCTCCCTCTCCTTTTATCCAGCCTTCAGGGGTGCTTGGTAGCAGTTCTTTTCATTTCCACCCTTAAAATAAATAAGGAAACCACGTGCCTTTCAGAGAGGTCTCCTGGTGACCACTCAGAGGTTCACTTATTTACACCAGAACTATCTAAGGGTGGTGCCCATGAGAAAGGAGCATTCCCCATATAGTAGTGACGCGGGAAAAAACACTGCTAAAAAAGGGGGCATGATGAGGGGCTGAATATGGCTTCTTGCAACTGGTGCCTGAAAACTAGGTGTCCTCCTGGAAGGGCTGTGGGCTCAGGGATTGGAGGTGGTGTGGGAGGGGAGTGACATATGCCCCTTGGGACTCTCTCAGTAGTGACGGAAGATGGACCCACATTTGGAGATTCAGCTGTCCTCTGACTTCCAGCCATGACCATCACTACCAACCACCATTTCTTGAGTTCCTGCTCTGTGCTGGGCACTGTTCTGGACACTGAGGGGGGATTCAAAAGAGATAAAGCACAGTTCAATCCCTCAAGCAACTTGTAATTTAATTTGGGAGCAGAAACCCACTCAAATGATGCAGCGTAAGAATGATAACAAGCATTATTTCAGTAAGTGCAAGATGGCATGGGGTCTCTCTAAATATCTGGGTGTTGAGTGCCTGCTGAATAGTGCCTTACAGGAGGAGTTAAGAGAGAAGGCTTGCGGGGGGCCTGGCTGGCTCAGTCCTTAGAGCATGCGACTCGATCTCGGGGTTGGAAGTTCAAGCCCCATGTTGGGTGTAGAGATTACTTAAAAAAATAAAATCTTAAATAAAAAAAAAAATAGAGAAGGCTTGCCTTAGGTGGGTGTAGGTCCTGGCATACTTGGAGCCGTGGATGTGAGTATGGGGCGGGCCTTGGGAAGATCGGGGGACTGCAGGCGCATGTGCATGTTGGCAAGTTGCAGGCCCCAGTCTGAGGGGAGGGCATGCTTGGGCTTTCCTATGCTGTTCTTGTGCTGGGTGGGTGGGGCTTCCAGGAGGGAGGCCTGAGCACCTGCCACCTGGGCTGGTTCCATTCAGAGGGCACCCAGGGCCGGAGGCTGGGCCCTCAGACTGGTGTGAGCAATGGTTCCCAGAGCTTTAGAGATTGAGGGTAAGTTTGCTTGTGTCAAAACACACCTTCCTCCACTCTCCACTCCCCAATAGCCTAGATCAAAGTGAACGTGAAGTTGAGATTTTTCTCTTCAGTTTCCTCAATTTGGGATCCATGTTAGAGCCATCTGTGGCTTTGTATCTCTTGAGCTCAATTTTGCAGACAAAAATTTTAGGACCGAAGTTGGATAAGCCATTACCCCTGATCACCTTTCAGATCCATTTTCTAAAAATTAAAAGGTCTGGATTGTCCCCTAGGGGCTGGGAAAAGACTTCCATGAAATAATTACTTGAGGAATGTAGCAAGTGGACACAGGTCTACAGTAGGCAAATATGAGAGTGACATGTTTGCTTATTTGATTTGACATCTGAAGGCCTTGTAACGGGTTAGAGTTCCATTTGTCGACATCATTGAAATTGTAAACGAAGGGCAGGGCCTATCTATTTATTTTGCTTCTGTAGCAATACTTAATGCCATTGATGACAGTTAATATAATTGTAATAGGAAATCATTGCAAGTTGTATTTAGAAATGTAGAGGGACATTAATATTTTCAAAATCTGTAATCTTTTTTATCAGGTAACATTCAATGAACCTCTCTTAGATAATACATGTAAAAGGTTAATATTCTTTATTCAATGTGCTTTTTAAAAAAAGTGAAATAATTAGGGGCACCTGGGTGATTCGGTTGGGCGTCTGCCTTCGGTTCGGGTCAGGATCTTGGGGTCCTGGGATCAAGCCCCACATCAGGCTCTCTGCTGGGTGGGGAGTCTGCTTCTCCCTCCCACTCTCCCTCAGTGCTCTCTCTCAAATAAATAAATGAAAGTCTTTAAAAAAAAAAGTGAAATAATTAGGGGCGCCTGGGTGGCTCAGTCGTTAAGCGTCTGCCTTCAGCTCGTGTAATTCAGAGAAGAAATCCCTGTCATGCATGACTTTTTCTTTACAGTAAAGGTCTTAACAATTAGTTTTTAAAGAATATTAAGCCTCGTATCAGCTTATTTGTTAGAGTTCTTCGCAATAGCTCAAGCAAGCTATTTTTTCCTTAACCACCATGCTGTTGCTATTTGCCAATTTGAATATGAAATTGAATCAGTTCCCTATGTGTCTCATGTTTCCCTAACTCCTCATAAATTGAACAGATTCCTTTGCTGGTTGTTTTTTGTGTTTTGTTTGTTTGTTTGTTTTGTTTTTCAGAAATACCCAGGGGATTTCTTTGGCTTCAACTCCTCTTTCCTCCCCCATGAAGGTACAGGTTATTTTAGTGGCAAATGCCTCGTTTCTTATTGAAATGGTTTAACCCTGAGAGGGAGGTGAGAAGAGAAGCATACCATGCAGCGCACATCCAGACCCTTGGGCCTTGTCTCTATTCCAAGTGTGTTTTGTACATTTGGAGCATGAACTCTATAAATGAGTTTTTAACATTCTTTATATGCATAGTTCCATAAAAGTGAAATTATCGAAATGTGAGAGCCCAGTGTTAGGAGTACACGACCATAGGCTACTTGTTGATATTGTTCCCATTATTTGAAAAAGAAGGAAAGAAAAAATATTAGATCAATATTAGGAAAACTTACATGTAAAGTTAGAAATGTTTCCTCTTTGAACAACTTAAAATTGTATCATGTTAATTTCCCTAAGAGTTTCGAACAATGAAGTTTAATATATTTTCATAGACTTTCATCTTGTTTTCTAGTATTACTTAATTAGGTTTAATGTAATTGATGATGATTAGAGATTGATTTTTCCTTAGCTTTTCTTAGAGCTCTTGACATTTTTTCTCAATATTTAATCCTTTGTCATCAGTATATAAGAGGCACCTGAAGAGCTAAGTTTTAAGTTCCCCTCAAAGCAATAAAAATAGCACAATCGGTGCCTGGGTGGCTCAGTTGGTTAAGCGACTGCCTTCGGCTCAGGTCATGGTCCTGGAGTCCCGGGATCAAGTCCCGCATCGGGCTCCCTGCTCGGCGGGGAGTCTGCTTCTCCCTCTCCCACTCCCCGTTTGTGTTCCCTCTCTCGCTGTGTCTTTCTCTGTCAAATAAATAAATAAAATCTTAAAAAAAAAAAAAAGCACAATCATTCCTTCTGCTTAAAAACCCTCTTTGCTTCTCTATGTCAATGCTGGAACCCAAATTTTCTGTCTAATTAGTATTAAATATTTTTACATAGTCATTCTCAGGAGAGGGCCTCGTGTGATTTCGCCAATGAGACTGATTTCCAATGAAATAGGAGATTTATTAGTTATCATTTGGTTGTGTAATTCAATTTTTAAAAAAAAATTTAAAGATTTTATTTATTTGGGAGAGAGAGAGAGCATGCGAGTGGGGGGAGGAGCAGAGGGAAAGGGAAAGAATTCCAAGCAAACTCCTCGCCGAGGGTGGAGCCAGTTGTGGGGCTCGATCTCACAACCCTGAGATCATGACCTGAGCTGAAACCAAGAGTTGGACCCTTAACCAACTGAGCCACCCAGGTGCCCTTGATTTTTTTTTTTATAAAATACTTCAGTTAGGATCTAAGAGATTAATTAACTCTCCCCTCAATGCAACAGTCCCTTTGGTAGCATCTCTGCTAGCTAGCATCTTGAATTTGCTTGAGTTTGTTTGTTGGTGATGGTGGTGTTTTTTTTTTTAGCTACCCCAAACGTTTATTTTAACATTTTGTTACACATGGTAATTATTCATGATAGTATATATAAAGAAATACAAACTTAAGTGTGTCTACCTGAAAGAAAATATAGTTAGGTTTGAGAGAGGAAGAGGAGGTTGAGGACTGTCTACTTTTTCTCTCAATGGACTGCCAGAGAAGAAAGAACATTTGATTATGGGCTAGATTAAATATACTTCTAGGGAATCATTTTTCTGGTCTGTCAAATGGAGGTAGAGGAGGAGGTGCTGCATCTGAAGTAATGTATGTTAGTGAAGAAAAGAAAATTAGTTTCAATGCATTTCCTGAGTATTTTAGAGGAAAATATAATGAATGAGGCAAAGCATAAGTGGACTCCGTTACAGAACATTTTTAGGAAACATATCTAAGATTAGGCCCCTCAAGGGAGCATTCTTTTTGCCTTGTATCTGTCTCTTAGGGGGCCATTGGTGGAAAACGATGAGTCAGCCCCTGGACTTGTTGAGCTGTGTCCTGTGGGTAAAGCCCTGACATGCTAGGGGGTAAAAAGGAAGACTGGCTCTCAGTGGAATAGGAAAACACAGACTCTGTCACGCTGTTCTGATCTTCTTCATGAATGACACCTTCCCACTAATTGTCATCTGATGACGACTACTGAAAGCTGCACTATTTTCTTCTTTTTAGCTAGAATGGGCACTAGAAAAAAAGTTCATGCATTTGTCCGCGTCAAACCCACCGATGATTTTGCTCACGAAATGATCAAATACGGAGATGACAATAAAGTAAGTGCAACGTGCTTGCCCTCACCGGCCCGGTCCTCTCTGTCCCCACTCGCTACAGCGTGACCCTGTTTCTAAATAGCCTTTAAGGACCAAAATAGAATTGACGAAAGTTCAGATGGACTCCAGAGTCCAACAAGTCCAAACCCCTCCCCCTGAATCGCTTTCGATGAGGAAACTCTCAAAACTCCCATTTTTAATTTTTGGTTAATACATTTAACCTTCATCCTTGTATCGGATATAGAAAAGCTGACGTTTGTCCACACTCATAAAACTTTCTGGTGATCAGATCTGTTACATAATCTCCCCAGGGGTCCAGGTAGAATGTCTTAAGTTGATAACTGTTAAACTTACCAAACCAATGGGAAAAACTCTTATCGAGAGAACTGGAAAGGTTTATCCATCCCCATGCCTTTACCACTGTCCTCACAGTCTTTCTGAAGCCCATGACAGGCTTGGGACAGGTTGAGAGAGTCCTGTGTTTTCATTCAGCAAACAACTGTGAATCCACTGTGGGCAGCACTGAGACGTTCTTTAAGGGAAGAATTCAAGAGCAAACTCCCCAAGCTTTGCAAGTCTTGGCAGTCAGAAAAAAGCTCACACTGAGCATGGTTTCAACGAACATAGAAGCGCCGTGCGTTTAATGTGTGAATGCACCAAGCCTCTCTTGATCTTACTTCTTCTGCATGTGGCTGTGTCTTGGTTCCTGGATTAGGGCAGCCAGGATAAAATTCCAGTAAGAGGCTCTTTACATCAGAAGTCCCCATAATGAAGATTGGAATCTACCATTGACCTAATGCAACGGGTTCCTAACCCAGCTGCTGCCATAGTGTTTTGCTGTGGAGGGATCTAAAAATCTAACTTTTTTTTTTAGAAATCTGTTCATCTAAAAATATGCTGATTACAAGTGGGTAGGCACCCTTGATTTGCTGTAATACCAGTGAGGAACTATGAGAAGTCAAGAAGAGCCTTCTCTGTGGCTCTTCATCATTACTCAGAATGGCCCATAGCATGTAAGAGATGTGGCTCAAGCCCAGGCCTCTGTCACGAAGCCCACTGTTCTCTCTCTCTGGCCTAATCCAAGGCCTTCCTGTGCTTAGTGAATATGTCTAAAGCTTGTTTAATAGAAACATGATAAATGTGCTTGACCCCATATCATAGATGGGGGAACCAAGACAAACAGCACCCTGTAACCTAGGGTGACAAGTCCTGAAACTAGTAAGTGCTCCAGTCTCCTGATCCTTCCACCTGAAGGGTTGTGTGGCCTCCCTGCAGGAGCTTCCTTCTCCCATCCCAAAGAATTCATTGGAATATTGGCCCATTGGTGGGAGTCCCTGTTCTTCCTAAAGTTCACTTCCTCTATTTTCTCCAGGTCAGGCCTCAGCTAGCAGTGAGTTTTTCATACCAGTTTCCTAAACACTAACTCTCTCTCTTCCTAGAGCATTGATATTCACTTAAAAAAAGATCTTCAGAGAGGAGTTGTCAATAACAAGCAGACAGACTGGTCGTTCAAGCTGGATGGAGTTCTCCACAATGCCTCCCAGGACTTAGTTTATGAGACAGTTGCAAAGGATGTGGTTGCTCAAGCCCTCGATGGATACAATGGTAATTTAGTTAATTGTCAGTTGTTTTACACAAGAACCCACAGAACCCTTCCTGGAGGAAGAGTTGCAATTTATGGTGAATGAAAGAAAAGACAACCTCTCCTGCTAACTTCTGTTTGCTAATTTGTCTATCTCCATATTCTTATGGTGGAAAACCGATTATTTGCTTGGTGATATTGTGGGCATAACTTGATCCAAAGTTCTGGGATCCTACCTTCATAGGAAGATTCAGTGGCTGGGGCTCTAGGTCCTGGGGATGAACTATTATCCTGTTTCACATCTCTCAGATACTAGCTTGGAAGATAATGTCCTTATGAATTTGACTGAGTCCAAATACTTTTGTCTTGGCCACCTGCTAGGAGCTACTTCCGTTCATTCTACCAGCAAAATCATTCTACCCTTCCTATTGTAGTATAGGGTTATTTACGTATAGCTTGAAAAAATGGAGTGGAGTTTGATTGTCTTAACAAATTAAAAGCAGCTTTACTGGGAAAGTTTTACAAACTAGTTCAGTCTAAGATTGCTTGAAAATCTTAAGAAGATTTAAAAATCTGTAGAAAGAATCTATCACCGTTTTTGTAAACTTCGCCCATGTGACTAGAATGCTCCCTGTCTGCAAGTTTTAGGTCTTCTATTTAAAAGTCTGTTTAGTATTGACGCCCACACATTGTAATGTATCCTGCTTGTGATACATAGGCGTGGTCCTCATTGACCCTGAGGGGATGTGGCCTTGAAGAGGTAGAAGACGAGGAACTAAGAAGGCCTGGGAGGTTAAGAGTCTTGGGCCCTGGGTGCTGTGGAATCACAAATGGGCCCTGAGGGCCAGCCGCTGTGACTCCTTCCTACACACTTGTGTTAGTAGATACTGTTTCTGACCTCGGCTCACATGCTGAGTTAGAGCCCCGTGTGTAAAACCTACCAATCCCAGGAACTAGAGCATTGGTGTGGTGAAGGCAAACACCAATTTTCACGGCCCAGCGTTGCCCTGAAGCAGCGTTTGGGATGGGTATGGCTCAGGCTGGCCCAGCCAGGAGGAAGGGCAGATGCGATCCGGAGCTCAAGAGCCTGGTGGTGATGGTAAACCTCATAGACGTGACAGGTGCAGACGAAGTCGTCCTGGAGAGGGCAGTGGGACTAGATCAGGACCTGTCATGGCGGTGTTTCTGAAAGTGGCATGGGACCAACTAGCAGCCCTGTTTGATCCTGTGGGAACTTGCAGTCTACAGAGAATTCTCACCATTAACAGGAAATGCCCTTTCCACGCCCATTTCTTCCTGGGGATTTTGAAAGCTCTTCTTGCCTCCTGCCTGGCCAGTTCCAGGGAGGCCTACGCCTGAGACTCTGGCAGTTCATGACTTTGCTAAAGGACTGTTCAGCCAGTGGTGCTGGATTCTGAATGTCTTAATTTTTCATTTCAGGGGCACCTGGGTGGCTCATTCGGTTAAGCATCTGCCTTCAGCTCAGGTCATGATCCCAGGGTCCTGGGATGGGCTCCTTGCTCAGCAGGGAGTCTGCTTCTCCCTCTGCCCCTCCCCCCTGCTTGTGTTCCTGCTCTCTCTCTGACAAATAAAATAAAATCTTTAAAAAAAGAAGGGCTGGAGTTCAGTGTTCCTGTCTCCCTCCTCACCTGTCTAGGAAAATTCCTAGTTTCTCTGTTCCCTCATATTCCCTGCTCTGCTCAGAAGCCTGAGGGTGAGATCTTCTCTTGGCACAGGGATCAATAGAGCACTACATGGGCCAGATTTAGAGCAGAGGTCTGTGTTTAGACCATTTATGTCCCTGTTTCCCTGCCCGCCCATCCCCCCCCCCCCCCGTGGCAGGAATTCCTCATGTCCATGGCTGCTCCTGATGGCCACCTCCACACCAGGATCCAGATTGGCACCAGGCATGCTGGGGGATAAGAGAGCTATCCTCGGAGCTCTTTTCCTGGACATCACCAAGACGTGTTTCCAAATATTTGCAGGTACCATCATGTGTTACGGGCAGACAGGAGCCGGCAAGACATACACCATGACAGGGGCAACTGAGAATTACAAGCACCGGGGGATCCTTCCTCGTGCCCTACAACAGGTAGAGAGTGGGCCCACAGGCGGGGTGTCTCACGGGTCCCCCCCCTTACCACAGCTGCTGCTGACCCCAGGCCTGCTACCGGACACAGGATATATGTTGAGGGGGTGGGGGTGCAGAGGCCTCAGGAAACCGGGAGTTCGGGTTTCAGAGTCTGACCCAAGCCCGTGCAGAGCCAGTTTCATTTGTGAGGACGTGCCAACTGGCTTCTTGCTGCTGTGATCCTGTAATTGAGGATTTGGAGGTCCTAATCATTATGTTCCTTCCTTGCTTTAATGAGGGGGATATGGACTCTCAGAGAGCTTCCTCACTGGCCTGCTCTGGCTTCTTCCACCACCACAGCCCCAGAAAGAGCAAAGGGAAAAAGCAGGCACAACATGAGTGTTCAGGACTGAGTCAGCCCTGGGCGGGTCTGGGAACTCTGACTGAAGATAGGACAGAGGGGCCTTCCTTCGGAGTTCTGTGAGGACCCTCTGTTGGGAGGTAGGAGGTAAAGGGCTTTACCCCAAAAGCATCTTGAGGTTTTATAGCCCTGTCCTATAAGGAATGGAGAGGACCCTCTAGTGTATAAACCACCCATGCTCTAACTGGTGAAGCAATCTCCTTCACGCCCCACTGTCAAAGCTTCAGGATCTCAGCATCTTCCACTTCGGTAGTGGAGTCCAGCGCTGCCCAGTAGAAACAAAATGGAAGCCACACATGCAATTTTGAGTTTTCTAGTAACCACAGGTTGAAAAGTAAAACAGGCGAAGTTGATTTTAATGATATATTTTATGTCAGTATATGCAAAATGTAATGTCCACATGTAGTCAGTATGAAAATTCTTGAGATATTTTACATTATTTTTCTCACACCAAGTCTTTGCAGTGTGTATTTTACACTTACGGGCCATTTCAAAATTTAGACACTAAATACTCATCAGGAATACTTGATCTGTATTGAGATTTCATAAAATTTACGGTTGAAAAAGTAGATTTATAAACCCAAGTTGTTCCAAACATACTGAAAAGTTTACCAGTAACTGAACTTAGGACTGCTTTGAAATTTAAATTCAAATTAATTACAATTAAAAAAATTTTTTTTAATTCTGCCCCTCATATTTGCGTCAGCCACATTTCAAGTGCTCAGCAGCCTCCTTTGGCTAGTGTCCCCCATGTTGGACAGCACCCACCTAGACTGTTAGAGCAGAGTGGGGACCTCAGGGATCATCCAGCCCAATCCCCACAGCCCATTTGACAATTAAGAAAGTTAAGGTCAAGAGAGGGGAAAAGACCAGTCCAAAGTCACCTGCCTTTAAGTACCAGGGAGGGTATTAGGAGCTGGGAAGGCTGAGTTTGGGCTTGGCTTCTCTCTGTAACTGAGTGATCATAGACAAATACTTTTCATTGCATGGAGCTTTCCACAGGTGGGCATTACCCCTGCCTTGCTTCAATCACAGGGGAGTTGTGAGAATGGAATTAAATAATTGATGTGAAAGAGGCATCTATATCGTGAGACTCCATAAAATAAGGGATCTTCACTCCAGAGTCTTTTCCATTCATCATGTCATGGGGCTGTTCAATCTGTTAAGTCAGGCCTCAAAAAACTACATGATAATAATTATCATTCAATGGACTAATAATAGTGATTGTTGATGATGATGACCATCATGCCAGCTAGACTGTAAATTCTTTTAGGACAAATATTTTTTTTTAAAGATTTTATTTATTCATTTGAGACACAGAGATACAGAGAGAGAGAGAGCATGAGCAGGGGGAGAAGCAGAGGGAGAGGGAGAAGCAGGCTCCCCGCTGAGCCAGGAGCCCGATGTGGGGCTTGATCCCAGGACTCTGGGATCATGGCCTGAGCTGAAGGCAGACACTTAACCATCTGAGCCACCCAGGCGCCCCAGGACAAATATTTTTTTATTGTACTTCTTGATATTCCCTGCTGAGGTCAGAACCCTCCTAACACTGGCTGGTCATTGGAGTTTTCTCTTCGTGACTACGTCCAATCCCTCATCTAGGTTTTTAGGATGATCGAGGAACGCCCCACACATGCCATCACTGTGCGTGTTTCCTACCTGGAAATCTACAACGAGAGTCTCTTTGATCTCCTGTCCACTCTGCCCTATGTCGGACCATCAGTCACACCATTGACCATTGTGGAAAACCCTCAAGGGGTCTTCGTTAAGGGCTTGTCAGTCCACCTTACAGGTCAGGAGGAGGATGCCTTCAGCCTCCTTTTTGAGGTGAGATGACCAAGCCTAAGGGACCTTTCCTTCCTTCCTTCTCTCCTTCTACCCTACCTCCCTCCTTCCTTCCTTCCCTTCCTTTCTTCCCTTTTTTCTTTTCCTCCCTCCCTCCTTAGTTTTTTTTACTTACTTTGATAATCAGAATGAATATTTATATATGCTCATTAGCAAGTTCAGATAGTAAAGAAAAAATACAGGAACAAAAAAAGAATTCACTCGTCTGTTTCCTACATACAGCAACAGTAATGTATGTTTTGGCTAATTTCCAGTCTTTTTTTCCCACGCAATTTTTTCTTAACATAGTTGAAATTGTCCTTTTTTTTCCAGTGAACATGAAATCATGGGCATTTGTAGTATAGAAAAAAATAAGGATTAGCATCCTTAGTATATAAGAGCTCTTACAAATCTGTAAATTCCCCCAGCGTATGCTATTCTTTTAAAAGTCATATAGGTTGGAACTCTTTTTTTTTTAAAGATTTTATTTATTTATTTATTTATTTGAGAGAGAGTGAGCATGAAGGAGAGGAGGGGCAGAGGGAGAGGGAGAAGCAGGCTCTCTGCTGAGCAGGGAGCTGGATGCGGGGCTCGATCCCAGGACCCTATGATCATGACTTGAGCCAAAGGCAGATGCTTAACCAAATGAGCCACCCAGGTGCCCATACGTTGGAACTCTTAAACGTTGTTGCTGAAATGTAAAATGGTGCAGCCATTTTGGCAGTTTCCTAAAAAGTTAAACACTAATTTTATCATAAGATCTAGCAATTCTATTCCTAGGTGTCTTCCCAAGAGAAACGAAAGCATGTGTTCACACAAAGACTTGTAGGCAAATGTTATAGCAGCATTATTCGTAATAGCCAAAGACTGGAAATAACCAAAATATCCATCACCTGGTGAATGGATCAACAAAATGTACATCCATATGATGGAGAACTATTCAGCAATAAAAAGAAATGGACTACTGATATATGCTACAAGATGGACAAGTCTCAAAAAAATGCTCAGTAAAAGAAACACAAAAGATCCATACTGTATGATTCCACTCATTTGAAATGTCCCAGTAGACTCCATCTTTAGAGATAGAAAGCAGATTATTGGTTGCCCAGAGGAAAGAGTGGGAAATGGTTGCAGAGGGGCCCAGGGAACTTTTTGGAGTTACACAACATTTCTAAAACAGGATTGTGGTGATGGTTGCACAACCCTGTAAATTTGGTAAAAAGCAATTACTGAATTGTATGCTTAAAACAGAGAATTTTATGCTATTTAAATTATGTGTCAATAAAACTTTTTTTTTTAAAGTCACCTAGGTGTCCTCAGGGGTGCTTTACACCTGGAGCCCTTGCATCTACAGGGAAGAGAGCGTCCCAGGAGGCAGCTGTAGGGCATTCTTGTCTTCTTGTTGCTCCTAACATTTCACCGTGACTAGTGATGTTTGCTGGAGGTTTTTGGTGGCTTCAGGTTAAAGAAGGTCCAAGTTTGGGAAGAGTTTTTTTAATCATGAATAAATATTTATTCATACCCTTAGTAATAACCACTCTCCTGACCTGTGATCATTTCGTCGGTCTTCTTTGTAGCATTACCACCCATGTTTCCTCCAACAGTGAGCGTAGTTTAATTTTTTTGAAATTTTTATATGAAAGGAATCATGCAGGATGAATTCTGTCTGATTACGTTTCCCTTTTATCTGCTTTTTATGTGAAATGCATCTGCGTTCTTGCTGTATATTTTTCATTGTCATCATCATTGTATTACGTTGGGTGAATATACTACAAGTTAGTTATCCACTCTTCTACTAATGGACATTCGGGTTTTCTTAATTCGGGGGATATTTCAGACAGTGCCACTGGGAGCATTCTTGTATATCTGTTAGTGCACGTAGCATGAATTTTTCTAGGGCTGCAAATACGGGTCATTGAGTATGTGTGTCTTAAGTTTTCTTAGGCAATGCCAACTCTTTTCCGTAATGGTACACTTCCACAGCAGGTTATCAGAATCCTGAGTATTCTGACCTTAAAATTTTGCTGGTGTGTGGTGTTTCCCACTGTGATCTTCTCTTTTCATCTTTCATTACTAATGAAATTAAGGACCTTTTCATGTGTTTATTGACCATGTGGATTTCCCTTTTCCTGTCTTTTGGTTTTTTGTTTTTTGTTTGTTTGTTTTTACAGATGTCCTTTTTTCTTTCTCTTACTTATCTGCATGAATTCTTTATATACTGGAAAACTAATTCTTTTTCCATTATACATATTGCAAATATCTTTTATTTCCTGTGGCTTCTTTTTTTCTTTCTCTCTCTTTATGTGTTATTTAATGAACAAAAATTCCTGATTTTAGGTTAATTGAATTGTGTGTGAATTTTTTGTTTTGGCTTTTCGTGTAAAGAGCATATAAAAGGAAAAAAAAAAGAGCATATAAAAGGATTTTCTTTTAAAAATATCCAGGGGTAGAGGGGCATCTGGGTGACTCAGTTGGCTAAGCGTCTGCCTTCGGCTCAGGTCATGATCCCAGGGTCCTGGGATTGAGCCCCGCATGGGGCTCCCTGCTCAGTGGGGAGTCTGCTTCTCCCTCTCCCTCTGCTCCTCCCCCACACTTGTGCACTCTCTTTCTTTCTTTACTCTCTCTCTCTCAAATAAATAAAATCTTTTTTTTAAAGATTGTATTTGTTTATTTGCCAGAGAGCCACCCAGGCACCCCAAATAAATAAAATCTTAAAAACAAAAAAAATCCAGGGGTAGAATTCACCAGTGAAGTCATCTGATCCTGGACTTTTATTTGTTGGGAGGTTTTTGATTACTGAATCAGTCTCCCTAATAGTAATCGGTCTATTCATATTTTCTATTTCATCATAACTCAGTCTTGGTGGTGTGACAGTCTTTGTCTTTTAACTGAAGCATTTCATTCCACTTGCACTTAATGTAAATTACGCATATAGCTGGTTTACATCTGTCATGTTACTGTGTGTTTTCTCTTTGTTCCATTTGTTCTACATTTATTTTTCTTACCTGTTTTGCCCTCTTTTATTTATTTAAAGATTTTATTTATTTGAGACAGAGAGAGAGAGAGCGAGCACGAACGGAGGGGAAGGGGCAGAAGGAGAGGGAGAAGCAGACTCCCTGCTGAGCAGGGAGCCCCATGTGGGGCTCGATCCCAGGACCCCGGGATCATGACCAGACGCCTAACCGACTGAGCCACCCAGGCACCCCTGCCCTCTTTTTAATTGAATATTTAATTTTTTATTGTCCTGTTGCCCCCTTTACTAATTTAGAGGTTATATGTTCATTCATGTTTATATTCTCTCGCTCTCTCAGTTTATCCTAGAAATAACAACTTGCACATTTAGTTAATACACATACATACACACCCAAATGAGCATATCTACCTGGTAAAATCTGAATAAGGTCTGTGGATTATACCAGCGTCAGCTTCTTGGCTTTGATACTGTGCTATAGTTTTGCAAGCTATTATCACAGGGAGAGGCTAAGTGAGGGGTACAGAGGACTTGCCCGTACATTTCTTTGAAACTTTCTGTGGATCAAAATAAAATGTCATTTTATCATAATGTTATGTTTTACTATAACATTACCATTTTAATCGTGTTATAATTATTTTTAAAATCAAACCTTTCAAAATCTAAAGTTCATAAAAACCTTTCCCTCCTCCTGGATTCTGTAAGAACCTTAGGATCGTTGCCCTGTCTTTTACGTTTTTGTTTTTTGACTCTGCAGGGGCATCATTATTAATGTTTTATATAGTCTGCATTCTTTTACATTTACCCTCGTATTTACCACTTCTGTTGCTTTTCCTTTCTTTTCTCCATAACCTTCCCCTGGAGAATGTTTTCCTTCTTTCTATTATACATCCTTTACAGTGAGCATGCTGGTGACAAAGAGTTTCTTGTTTTTTGAAATGTCCTTATTTATCCTCAATCTCGAAAGATATTTTTGCTGGGTGTAAAATTCTATTTTGGCATTTTTTTCACTTCTACCATACTAAAGACATTATTGCAAAGTTATGGTTTCCATCGTTAGTGAGAAGTCAACTGTCAGTCTATTCAACAGTCTTTTCAAAGTACGTTAGTCTGGGCTCTCTGAGAAGCAGATGCCAAGATGGGATTAAATGTGCAAAGGTTTTATGAGAGGAAGTTCCCGTGTCAAGGAAGCAGGAAGGGAGCTGGGTAAGGCTGGACAGCTGTCAGGTCACGATGCAAGTCCTACCTCAGGTGAAGGGAGGGAAGGTCGGGTGGAGTTTCCTAGACTGCCATGCCGCGTAAGGAAGGCTCGGGAGCAGTTAGCAAAGGACTCTTCAGGAGGGAAGTGCACTTCTCAGGCCATCAGAGATTGCCTAGTGGAAGCCAGAAAGACAAGGGCAGAGGGCACTTCACAAAGAGGGGACTGAAGGATGAAGGTGACGTGACCCCTTACGCTCTTGGTGAATGTCACTGAATTTGTAGGACAGGCGACAGTGAGAAGCTGTGGAGATGTGGCCATGGGCGTCAGCCAGGGGGTCAGCCAGGTCTGCTCCACAGCTCAGGGCTTCCCTTCCTCTCCCCTGTCATCACTGCTTTGGGACTTGTTCAGAGCATTTCTCTGGGGCCTTTAAGGGTACTGTGGAGTCCCTCCCACAAGGACCTTTTTCTCCTAAGAACAGCCATTTCCACCACATCTTTAAGTGTATTCTGGTCATTGGGCCCAATCTTGTGAATTAGAAGCAAGGGCTTGCTGTCCCTTTAAAAATACAAATTAATTCATTTTTCATAATTTTTAAAAGTAATAACACGTTCACTAGGGCGCCTGGGTGGCTCAGTTGGTTAAGTGTCTGCCTTCAGCTCAGGTCATGATCCCAGGGTCTTGGGGTCGAGTCCCACATCGGGCTTCCTGCTCAGTGGGGAGTCTGTTTCTCCCTCTCCCTCTGCACTACCCCCCCCAACCTCTATGTGCATGTGCGCACATGTGCTCTCTCTCTCTCTCTCTCAAATAAATAAATAAAATCTTTAAAAAAAAGTAATAACATGTTCACTGTAAAAATATGAAAACGCAAACCTATAGAAAAAGAACGAACGGGCACCTGGTAGGCTTAGTTGGTGGAGCATGCAGCTCTTGATCTTGGGGTTGTGAGATCAAGCCCCATGTTGGGTGTGAAGATTACTTAAAAATAAAATCTTTTTAAAAAATGAAAAAAATAAAATAAAGAAATGATCTCTAAACCCCAGCCTAGAAGTGACCATTCTGAATATCTTATTGGAAGCAACTGTGTATTCTTTCTTGTATGCATTTCTTTTGCATTCCTTAGATTGTCCCGTCATATGATTTACCCTGCATTCGGTTAATGTGGTGCACCACACCGATGGATTTGCATGTGGTGAACCATCTTTGCATCCCAGGGGTTAGTCCTACATCGTCCTGGTATATGATCCTTTTAATGTGCCATTGGAGTTAGTTTGCTATGATTTTGTATTCTGCGTTTCTCTATGATTAAAAAATACTTGTCAACATTTTTCTGGCTGGATGACATTCCATTATACAGACAGACCATTCCCTAATCACTGAATACGTACATTGATTGTGAGTCAGTATTCATGAACATTTCTAAGACTCTAATTCTTTTTTTTTAAAGATTTTATTTATTGGAGAGAGAGAGAGAGAGAGCGCATGAGCAGTGGGGAGGGACAGAGGGAGAGGGAGAAGCAGACTCCCTGCTGAGCAGGGAGCACAATGTGGGCCCTGGGATCATGACCCGAGCCAAAGGCAGACGCTTAACCAACTGAGCCAACCAGGTGCCCTCTAAGACTCTTAATTCTTATTACTACTTTGCCTTTCAGAAAGCTCTACAGATTGACACATCCCTAGCAAAGGGTGAAGGTCTAGGTCTGGATTGCCAATTGGTCTCCCATTCTCCTAGTTTATAAATGAGATTTCTCTGGAAGGTCTGATGGCAGTAACATGAAGTCACTTGTGCTGTTGGTATAGTTGAAAAATGACCTGAATGCCTTATTATTTTAATTTTTCAAAATGTTGTCTATGTTCCCCCTCCTCTTTAGGGAGAGACCAACAGGATTATCGCCTCCCACACAATGAACAAAAACTCATCCCGGTCACACTGCATTTTCACCATCTACGTGGAGGTGAGTGCGAGCTCCTTGAATAGCCCAGGAGGGGCGGCCGAGTCTCACGGGGCCGGCTCTGTCAGAAGCTTCTTCCTGTGATGTCTCACCTCTGTTTGGATGTTTCGTAGGCCCATTCACGGACTTTATCAGACGAAAAGTACATCACTTCCAAAATTAACTTGGTGGATCTAGCGGGCTCGGAAAGGCTGGGGAAGTCTGGGGTAAGTGGGTAGCGGGAGGTTCCTTCCCAACAAACCACAACCCTGTTTCCGGCAGAGCGGCTGTGCACATGGGCCGTCCCTCAGGGGGCATTTGTTTGTGTTTTGTTTTTTTAAATTTTTTTTTATATATATATATTTTTTTATTTATTTGAGAGAAACAGAGATAGTGAGATAGAGAGCACAAGTGGGGAGGAGAGGGAGAAGCAGGCTGCCCACAGAGCAGGGAGCCCGATGTGGGGCTCAATCCCAGGACCCTGGGATCATGACTGAGCCGAAGGCAGACGCTTAACCGACTGAGCCACCCAGGCGCCCCCCTTAGGGGGCATTTGTGAGCCCAGTCCTCAGCTAGTCACACTAGAGCACGTGGGCTTGACCCTGTGTTGCTGGGGGACAGAATTACACATCAGCAGCAACATAGTTGCGGTTCCCACTTAATGGGATTTTTGTAAACGTTGAATGAGATGATGGCCCCTAAATTCTTAGCAAGGTGTCCGGCCCTCAGTAAGTGCTCAGTAAATGCTCTGTGCTAGTGTTAGCATTTCTGTGTATGAAGGTGAGTGTTCACATGAGTCTTTCATCTCCGATATTCATATGAATGTGAAGAGTAGCATAAGTATTCATAGGAGTATGCAGTGAGCATTTCTTTTTTTTTTTTTAATTTTTTTTTATAAGATTTTTTGTTTATTTATTTGAGAGAGAGGATGAGATAGAGAGAGAGCATGAGAAGGGGGAGGGTCAGAGGGAGAAGCAGACTCCCTGCCGAGCAGGGAGCCCAATGCGGGACTCGATCCCGGGACTCCAGGATCATGACCTGAGCCGAAGGCAGTGGCTTAACCAACTGAGCCACCCAGGCGCCCCTGCAGTGAGCATTTCTATGTGCATTTTTAAAAAAGATTTTATTTATTTTATTTTATTAATTTTTTTAAAAAAATATTTTATTTATTTGCGAGAGAGACAATGAGAGATAGAGAGCATGAGAGGGAGGAGGGTCAGAGGGAGAAGCAGACTCCCTGCTGAGCAGGGAGCCCGAAGCGGGACTCGATCCCGGGACTCCAGGATCACGACCTGAGCCGAAGGCAGTTGCTTAACCAACTGAGCCACCCAGGCGCCCCAGATTTTATTTATTTTAGAGGTAGAGAAAGAAGGAGAGAGAGAGAACATGTGCGTGGGGAGGGGAGGAGCAGAGGGAGAGGGACAAGCAGACTCCATGCTGAGCACAGAGCCCAACCCCACGCTCAATCCCACAACACTGAGATAATGACTGGAGCCCAAATCAAGAGTCAGACACTTAACTGACTGAGCCACCCAGGCGCCCCTCCTATGTGCATTTGTTTAAGTGTTTTTATGTGTATGATAGCCTCAGGATGATTTCCTCAAGTATCTACACAAATATTCCTGTGTGTATTCATGCTGGTGTGACCCTTAAGTGAGTATTCATGTGAATATTCATGTAAGTATTCATATTCATGTGAACGCTGCCATGAATGTTTTGTTTTGTTTTGTTTTTTTAAGATTTTATTTATTTATTCATAAGAGACAGAGAGAGAGAGAGAGGCAGAGGGAGAAGCAGGCTCCCCGCTGAGCAGGGAGCCCGATGTGGGACTCGATCCCAGGACCCTGGGATCATGACCTGAGCTGAAGGCAGACGCTTAACCATCTGAACCACCCAGGCGCCCGCCATGAATGTTTGCATGAGCATTCCTGGGAATGTTAGTATTAGCCCGAGATGGGATACAATCCCAGGACATTAAGAGGAGAGCTGGCTCAGGGAAGGAGGCTCTGGTCTGGCCACCCACCTGCAGCGTTCTCCGTGGGGCAACCTCCCTATTTGGTGTGAAGTGGACCTGACCTTTGCTTTGTAGTCGGAGGGCCGCGTGCTGAAGGAAGCCACCTACATCAACAAGTCGCTATCATTCCTGGAGCAGGCCATCATTGCCCTCGGGGACCAGAAGCGGGACCACATCCCCTTCCGGCAATGCAAGCTCACCCACGCCCTGAAGGACTCATTAGGTGCGTGTGCAGTTGGTATCGGGGAGGAGGGACAGGCCTGGCCTAGCTGCTGCTGGCGATCATGGACTTGCTCCCTTCCGCTGGCCTGCACTTCCCTGCAGCCTTTTCTCGGTGACCCCAGACACAGACAACAGCATGCGTGGTACCCTCTTTTGTCACCCACGGCGTGCAGTGCTGTTCCCTCAGAACCTTGGCTGGAGCTTTTGCCTCTGTTGGGAATACCTTCTCCTTTCCCCTCCCTAAACCTGGCAGAATCCTTCCATGGCCTTCAAGACCGGGTGGTGGGCCTCTCGCATGCAGCCTTCTCTTCCCCTACAGTCTCCCTGACAGAGGCCCGGGGCCTCTGTCTTTTCATCCTTGTGTCTCCAGGCTTTCGTGTTGGGCCTGATGGCACAGTCGTGGGTGTCTGATTGTTCATGGAGTGCCGCCGGCAGCAAAGCCCTGGCCCACAGCCCTCTGCCCTGCCCCTCCCTGCCCCATTGCCATCTCTCCTCTGCTGTTCCCCCCCGCCCCTTTTAGGTACATCCAGTGGCCTCTCCCCTTCCCTTCCCTCCTCCAGCCTCGTACATGCTTGGATGTGTCCCTTGTGACCCTGCCTGTGTCAGCTCGGGTGGCCGTAACAAAACACCACAGACCTGGGGGGCTTACACAACAGACATTTATCTTTTACGGCTCTGGAGGCTGCAAGTCCCAGATCAAGGTTCAGCATGGATGGTTTCTGGTGAGGACTCTCTTTCTGGCTTGTAGACGCCTGCTTTCTTGCTGCCTTCACATGGTCAAGAGAAAGAAAGAAACGAGAGAGGGACCAGAAAGGGAGACAGAGTTCTGGTCTCTCTCTCTTATAGGGGCACTAATCCCATTATGGGGGCTCTGCCCTCAGCACCTCATCTAAACCTGATTACCTCCCACAAACCCCCTCTCCAGGTGGGATCACATTGGGGGATAGGACTTCAACATAGGAATTTGAGAGGACACAAGCACTCAATCCAAAACAGACGCCCACCAGCCTTAAAGGACTCTCTTGGCAGAAAACCCACATGGTTCGTGGCTCTTCTGTGTCCTGCTTTCTGCAGGGGGAAATTGCAATATGGTCCTCTTGACGAACATCTATGGAGAAGCTGCCCAGTTGGAAGAGACGGTACGTAAAGACAGCCCGTGTGGCCTAGTTGGAATCCTCACGGGTTCCAGGGCTGGGTAAGGGTGGCTCTGGGCTGGCTAAGCTGGCATACTTAGCCATAGACATTGTCAAGAGGGAAGGGATCCAGGGGATGAATCAGCCGAAATTGCTGCGGGAGGCCCAGGCAGGATCCACATACCAAGTACCAAGGGGCAGAGGCTGTGTTGAGGAGGAGACAAGGCAAGAAACAGGCACAGTATGGGGGACTGTGTGAGAGTTTCGCAGGGGGCAAGGACCATGCTGCCTGGGGTGCTGCTCCTGTGAATTGGGATCTAGGACAGTGGATTTCTTGTTCTTCATAATTACACACTTGAAATCTTAGAAGCACCATGTGGTTATAAGGCCTGTGTGAGCTGACATGTGACAAGCATGTGCTGTGTGCAAGGTGGTGGGGGATACTGGGAAGAGCAGCTTGGTAGAGGTGAGTTATCTGTGGCCCGAGGCCTCAGAGTTCCTTGCCATGGCCCTCAGGAACGTGAGAGGCCCAGATGAAGGAGCCCGTCAAGGGAAGCGGGACTTTTCCTCAAACTGGGGTGAGGAGGGTGGGCACCGAGCCGGCTGGGGTTAAAGGATGGGTGGTACAGAAAGCAGAGATGCTCCTGGCAGAGGGGACTGTGGGCCGGAAGGTGTGGGCCTTGGGAGGAACATCTGGCCACTGCGGGGGGGGCCTGGGAAGGGGAGGGCGAGAACAAACAGTAGCAGCCTCGTGGGTGCAGGTGGCCAGGCTGATGCCGTGGCTGTTCCACTGGTTGCTGGGGTGTCATGGGGTTTGAGTAGGGGAGGGCTGTGGCCAGAGTTGTGACGCAGGGAGATTAACCAGCCTGCAGGGCCCAGGTGACCTGGGAGGGGACAAGCTTATGAGAATCAGAAGCAGTCATATGGGCTCTAATGGCTGAGGCGGTGACGTAAGTGAGCTCACGCAGCTGGGCCCCCTGGCGGGGGCTCCCTTCTTCCTCTGAAGGGCCACTCACCATAAATAAGGCAGATTTGGAAAGCTCTCCATAGGCATTTTGTTTTGTCAAGTGTGGGTGTTTAGGGCAGGCTTCAGTCATCTGGAGAGTCCACTTAGGCGAAACAGGTCCTTTCTAGGCACACTGCAGGGCCTCCCAGTTTCTTGCATTAGGAACCAGCCCTGCGCGTCCAGAGAGGGTGCCCTGGGACTCGGGAGGCCGGGAGGGAGCTCCTGCTGACGTGCAGGCAGCATCCCCAGAGGAGGGCTTCAGGATCCTCCCAGTCTCAAAGCATGACAAAGCACAGGTGAACCCCAAGAGGAACCATATGAAAATCGGGCCTCCTGACTGCCTTGTTGAGAAGTGCCCTCCAGGACAGCGGAAGGCCCCTCTCTCTCCTTATCCCCACCCCTGAGATGGTCACCGCGCAGGAAGCAGCTCTCCTGGTACCTGCCATCCCCAGAGCTTTGTGACCCAGGGCGGCGCCCGCAGAGCCCAGAGCTGCTGTTGGAGGGGCTCAAGGGTTTGGGACAAAGGCCTGTTGGGGTGTGGAAGCTAATGATTCTCTTTTTCAAATGCTTTAAAACTTTCACACAGTTCCTGTCAAGGATCATGTTGCTTTATTCAGTGACACTGCTTGTGATATGTGTGGGAGTAGATGCAGTGAGGGAGTCCTGGCCGAACTTGCTGCTGTGCTCGGAGCAGGAGAGCCTGATTCCGGCCCACACAGAGGCCGCTCCAGCTGCGGTGACAGGGGCCTCCTCCTGAGGTCGCTGTGGGCCAGTTCTGTAGAGAACACGTTATATACCTCTTCACTAAGCCTCCCAGGCTCCAACTTTACAGAGAAGTTCCACAACCTGTCTGAGGTTGCGCGGTTGGTCAGCGGCAGAGTTCTTTTTTTTCTTTCTTTTTTTTTTTTTTAAAGATTTTTATTTATTTATTTGACAGAGAGAGAGCACAAGTAGGCAGAGAGGCAGGCAGAGGGAGAGGGAGAAGCAGACTCTCCACTGAGCAGGGAGCCTGACGCGGGGCTCGATCCCAGGACTCTGGGATCATGACCTGAGCCGAAGGCAGACGCTTAACCGACTGAGCCACCCAGGCGCCCCAGCGGCAGAGTTCTTAACCACTAGACCAGACTGCTTGAAGGAAGAGCCCTTTCAGGCCTTCTTCTGGGTCACTCCTGGGTAACCACTCCCCGCCTCCCCCCCAGCCCAAGCCTCTCTGTTTCAGGGCCCTGAGTCAGCCGGCATGGTGTGAAGTTGGGATCTCAGGGCCCGCCTTGTGCTATCACTGGCTGTTCCCCCCTGCCAGGGAGTAGCCCTCCACCTCGCACGCAACAGCAGTGCAGTGGGGCACGGCATCGGAGCGGTTTCTCAAGGGCCTGCTTATGTGGCTGCCTCATGGCCTCCAGCCATAATTACCCCTGCCTGGCTGTCCCTGCGGAGGGACTCGGGTGGAACCCCCAAGAAGGAGACCCCATACTTCACTTTGGAATATGTCTATGTGCAGAGATTCATCTTTCCTGGTGGACTCCTTTGACCTGCTTTGCAAATACCTCCACTCACAAGCAGTTGGCCAGAGACATAGAGGGCTGTCTGATCTGTTTTTCAGCTTTCTTCCCTGCGGTTTGCCAGCAGGATGAAGTTGGTCACCACAGAGCCTGCCATCAACGAAAAGTATGATGCTGAGGTACTAAGGGGCTTGTGGGCAGGTGTGTCACTGCAGAGAAGGTGTGTGGGTGTGCCGCCTGGATCACACAAGCCTGACTTCCCTTCTTGCCTCAACTAAAGATACCCATGCAATCTTGGGTCAGTCCTTTTACACGCTGGGACAGGCCAGAGTCTTCAGAGTCACTGGAGACAAACCTAGGGGGCCAGCACACAGGTGAAAGGGTCAGGTTACCACCCAGTTCATATGTGAGGCTTCAGGGCCTCTGACTACCCGGGGCTTCCTTTGAGCTAACTGTTTCAGAGTTAAATAAGTGTGGACCAACTCTTAGACTCATCTGGTTATGTCACTACAAAACCTCTTTCACCCCAGCCTGTATGATCCCTCTAAGCAAGCACAGCTGACCAACCAGAAGGCATGCTCAGCATCACCATTAACCAGGGAAATGCAGGTTGAAAGCTTAGTGGAATTTCACCCTCACACTAGCCAAAACTAGAATTGTTCCGATCATGGAGAATGACGGTGAGGATGTGCAGAGACAGGAGTGCGTGTCTGTTTCTGGCCAGTGTCGTCCATATAGCTGCTTTGGAGAGCATTTTGGCAACATCTAGCAAAATCAAAACTCATTTACCAATAATTTGGCTTTCCTTTGGGATGCTTGTAGAATCATGGTTACCGGAGACCGGAGCATATGCGTGCCCTAAGCTCATGACAAAGTAGTTAATTAAACCTTCCAGATTCTAAATCCTGACGGAAAATAACGGTCCCTATGGCTCTGTGGAGCTAACCTGTGGCTTGGAGGCTGAGGAGGGGAGTGGCTTAGAGCCGTGGGCTCTCAAACACGCGCAGGCGGGCTTCTGGAATAGCAGCTCACTGGACCCATTCTCGGAGTTCTGATTCCATTGGTGGAGGGGTGAGGCTTAAGGATTCACATTTCTAATAAGTCCCCCACTGCTGTTCTGAGGCCACACTTGAGAACCATTGGCATAGCAGTCAAGAGCTGTGGCCCCCACATCGGGCTGTCCTGGTGCGGCCACCCGCTCTTTCCTTCCATGAGCTGCCTAACCTCGGCAAGATGCTTATCCGTTCTAAGCCTCGGGGTCTTTGATTATAAATTGGAGAAGTAGGGGCGCCTGGGTGGCTCAGTCGTTAAGCGTCTGTCTTCGGCTCAGGTCATGATCCCAGGGTCCTGGGATCGAGCCCCTCATCGGGCTCCCGGCTCAGCGGGGAGCCTGCTTCTCCCTCTCCCACTCCCCCTGCTTGTGTTCCCTCTCTCGCTGTGTCTCTCTCTGTCAAATAAATAAATAAAATCTTAAAAAAAAAAAAAAAGATAAATTGGAGAAGTAGCGGAATCCACTCTCAAAGAGATGTTGTGAAGAATAAGATAACGGGGAGAAACCCCTTAACACAGTGCTGTCATGGAGTAAATGCTCAATAAATATTTTAGCTAGTCCTCTACTCACTCACTCGTACAGGTCAGCAGTGTCCCTTTCTGGGTGGACAATCTAGAAGCACTCTTTGCATATGTATGTGAACAGCCTTGGAGCAGAACGGAGCTCGTGCTGCTCATTGTGTAGTGAGAAGTTGGGGCTGTGATCAGTAGCCTTTAATTAACAGGAGAGTAGCTAAGTGAGTCATGGAGGGAGGGAACCGGGGCTCGAGCTGCAAGCATAGATAATCTCAAGTGGGATTGCAGTGGGCCAAACGGTAGCCTCTGTCATTTCCACCAAATCTAAAAATGTGCAAAGCAAAGCTGAATATCATTAATGGATAGATGCGAGTGCAGTGAAAGAAAAAAGCATGGGGGTGGAAAGACCAAACCGAGGCTGGGGGTTCCCTCTGGGATGTCAGGGGGGATGGACTTAGAGTGAGGTTCATAGGGGCTTCATTTTTATCTGCCATGTTTTAGCTCTTAAAATGAAAAACAAAAAAACTGAAGCCAATAGGGCAGCATGCTGTTCAAGTCAGGTTTTGGGGTGGTCTTCCCAGGTTTCATGGCATTATTTACTATGCTTTTCTGTAGCTTGGAGGTTTTATTTATTTTCGTCTGGTGTTCTCTGAGCTCGGGACCCCCGCATCGCCATGTGCAAACCTGGCTGGGTAGTAGGCGTTGTGCAGGAACTTCTGTGCCCTTCCATGTAATTTTTGTTCTGAAATGGACATTATTGGTCCTGGCCAACCAAGTCTCCATGACATCCAACGTGACCATGTTTATAATCTTTATGATCAGCATTTATGAGCATGAGCTCTTGAGAGAGACCTGAGAAATTACTTTGGTGGCCCCCTTCCCTGGACTACAGCCAGCCTGCCTATGTTATTTCTAGCACCATTCTCAGCATCGATGCCTGTTTTCAAGGTGGTGGGGGAGCTTCCACAGAATTTCTTTGGCGGTGGGGCTGGTTGTAAGGCGGGAGACTGGATTCCTCATCTGCCTCTGCCACCAGTTGTCTCTGAGCCTCGGAGTTTTCACCCTTGAACGAGGGGTTGGACTGATGAACTCCAGTGACCCTCCCACTCTGGGAGTCTGTGATTCTGTGAGGGGGTGTAAAAGTTGGCGAGCCTCGGGCATAAACAAGCAACAGAGAGACACTTGGTATTCTGCTCTGCTGAGAGAAGAGAGGGCCTGCAGGCCGCAGGGAGCGGGAGGTCAACGAGGGAAGCTTCCTGGGCAGAGAGCCACTCCTAGCTTGGTGTGCTACTTAAACAGAACTTTCTGAATTATCCTCATTACGTCTATGCTGAAAACCCCTGACTATCAGGAAACTCATGTGAGTCTGTGCTGATTCCATCCAGAAAATGTCCCTGACCTTTAAAGGAGTTGGTCAGGTGTTGTGTTCTACCTAGGGTACCAAAAAAAAAAAAGGGAGTCAGTCAGCCAGGAGGTGCTGCCAGGTCCTGTTCTGTGGGGTCTGCTGCTCTAGCCCTGTGTTTCTGAGCAGCTTCTCCAATCAGTACAGGGGGGCCAGGTGGAGGCCACTAAGTCTGCTGGGCATTAGGAGAAGCAGCTCCTATGCTCTCAAGATGCGACGTGGAGGCTGGTTACCCTGGGAGCCGATGGCCCATTTCCCACATCACCTGACTGGCCCAGAGATCTAAGCCCGGCTCCCCATGCCACACTGGGCTGTCATCCCGCTGGGGACCCTCAACGGTGCAAGCAGACTTTCCCTAGCTGGGCATGCTGTCTCTTCCAGAGTGGAGATCCCTCAGCGGAGAGGAGGGGCTGGCCACCAAGCCTCTCCCGTTGCCTCATAGGAAGTCTACCTGAAAGAGACCATCTTGGGGCTTCCCAGAGGGGCAGAGCCAGGATTTGGACCCTGGTCATGTGCTTTGAGTCCCAGGCTTTGTGCCCTGAATTGCCACAGAGCCACCAGGATGCCAGGGTTCTGTCACCCCTTGCTGCAGACTGGTCACAGCTTTGGTCACCAGTCCCAGGATCCAGTTGTCAGGAGCTCCCTCCAGTGGCCATTTTTTTAAAAAAGATTTTATTTATTTATTTGAGAGAGAGAGAATGAGAGAGAGTGAGCACATGAGAGGGGGGAGGGTCAGAGGGAGAAGCAGACTCCCTGCCGAGCAGGGAGCCCGATGCGGGACTCGATCCCGGGACTCCAGGATCATGACCCGAGCCCAAGGCAGTCGCTCAACCAACTGAGCCACCCAGGCGCCCCCAGTGGCCATTTTTGACAACTGAAGGAAGCCCTCTTCACAGTGAAGATTCTCAGCATAAAATCCCTTGTACCTCTCATCTGAAAGACTCTAGGGCAGTATCTACCAACTGTAAAATGACTCAGCAGTCCTGTTTCTAGAAATATCATTAATCCATTCACTTGAAATCTACAGAGCACTTACCATGTGCCGGACACTCTTTGAAGCACTTGGAGTGTTAGTGTACAAATAAACACACAGATCTCTGTCCTCAAAGAGCTGATGGTCTGCTGAGGGTGGGAGAGAGAGAGAGGTAATAAATAAAAGAAATAAGGGAGTCTAGGGGTGCCTGACTGGCTCAGTTGGGAGAGCATGTGACTTTTGATCTTCAGGTTGTGAGTTTGAGCCCCACGTTGGATATAGAGATTACTTAAATAAACTATATAAAAAAAAAAAGGAAGTGAGTCTAGATCTTGCTATTTGCAACAACACGGATGGACCTGGAGGACGTTACGCCAAGTGAAATAAACCAGATACAGAAAGAAAAATATTGCATGATCTCACTTATATGTAAACCTAAAAGGTCAGATTAATAGAAGCAGGGAATAGAGCAGTGGTTACGAAGAGTAGGGGCAGGGGCCGAGGAAAGGGGAGATGTTGGTCAAAGGGCACAAATTCTCATTTATGGAATGGATAAGTTCTGGGAATCTAATGTGTAACATGGTGACCATAGTTAATAATATTGTATTGTATATTGGAAATTTGCTAAGAGAGTAGGCCTCAGAAGCTCTTACCACACACAGAAAAATGGTCACTAGGTGAGGAGATAGATATGTTAATTAACTTGACTGTAGTAATCATTTCACTGTGTATATGTATATCATGTTGTACACCTTAAATATTCATACCTCCAGAGATATCGTGGGTTCAGTTCCAGACAACTATAATATACTGACTATCACAATAAAGTGAGTTAAATGAATTTTGTGGTTTCCCAGTGCCTATAAAAGTTATGTTTACATTATACTGTAGTCTATTAAGTGTGCAGTCGCATTGTGTCTAAAAAAAAATGTACATACCTTAATTTAAGAATGCTTTTTCGATGGGGCACTTGGGTGGCTCAGTCGGTTGAGCATCCAACTCTTGATCTCAGCTCCGGTCTTGATCTCAGGAGCGTGAGTTCAAACCCCATGTTGGGCTCCATGCTGGGCGGGGAGCCTACGCAAAAAAAAAAAAAAAAAAAAATAATAATAATAATAATAATAATAAATAAATAACTTAAAAAAATACTTTATCGCTAAAAAACGCTAATCATCATCTGAGCTTTCAGCGAGTCGTAATCACTGAACACATCACATAACAAATATAGTAAAAATGAAAAGGTTTGAAATATTATGAGAATCACCAAAATGTGATACAGAGACATGAGGTGAGCAAATGCTGTTGGAAAAATAGACTTGCCTGAGCTGGGGTTGCCACAAACCTTCAATTTGTAAAAAAAAATGCAGTATCTGGGAAGTTCAGTAAAGCAAAGTGCAATGAAATCAGGTACGCCTGCGTACGATTCTCTTTAAAGATTTCTTTAAATGAGATAGCTAAGTTCTAGAGCTCCACCATCCAGTACCGTAGCTGCTACTTGCTTGGGGCTATTTAAATTAGTTAAATCAAATTAAAAGTTCACTTCCTGGGTCACCCTAGTGACATTCAAGTGTTCAGTAGCTACATGTAGCTCGCGGCACAGATACAGACCATTTCCATCATTACAGAAAGTTCTATTAAACAGCACTGCTCTAGGGACACCTGGGTGGCTCAGATGGTTAAGCGTCTGCCTTCGGCTCAGGTCACGATCTCAGGGTCCTGGGATCGAGTCCCACATCGGGCTCCCTGCTCCTTGGGAGACTGCTTCTCCCTCTGCCACTCTCTCTCTCTCTCTCTGTCTCTCATGAATAAATAAATAAAATCTTTTAAAAAAAAATAAAAAATAAACAGCACTGCTCTAGGGTATGTTGGTGATAGGTGCTATGAAAAAAATTAGAGCAAGATTTGCAAAAAAGAGTGGTGTGGGGGTGGGGAGGGGATTGCAGTTTTCTGTGGGGTGATTGAAGTGTGCCTAATTTAGAAGCTTTTGAACAAAGACTTGAAGGAGGTGTGGGGGTGAGCCAGGGCAATACTTGGGGGAAGAGTGTCCTGGGCAGAGGGGATAGGCAAGGCAGAGGCGGGAGTGTGCCGATTTGGTAGGACTGGAATGAGCTGGGGGAGGGGAACAGTAGGGAAGAAGTAATGGGGGCAGGTCACAAAGAGCCTGTGTGACCCTACAAAAACCTAGAAAGACACAAAGATAGAAGGACAAAAATGCTGTGCACTGTTGTTTGTAGCAGCAAAAATATTAGAGGTGACGAACCTGATTATCAGCAGGGAACAGTGACATGTCTTTGCAGTGGTTGGGAAGGATGAGGGTAGAAGGTACGGCTGTGTTGGAAAGCATCCTGGTGGCAGTGGGCTGCACTGAGAGGGCCATCACCCTGGTAGACTAGAAATCTGAAGCTCCCGGGAGTTGTGGTGTGAGGTTGCCCTGTGGGTTCCTGTGCTCACTCTCTTCTGTCTCCGCTGCTGTAAGAGGCAGAGGCCAGGGGACTGCTGAGGCCCCCGCAGACCCTAAACTCACCCCAGTTGGGGAAAAGTCACCAGCAGGGAGGGAATTGTCCAGATGCTGACATCACACCCCATGGGTTTCCAGGAGGGGCCGGGATGTCCAGGCATAGGTTAGGGAATTGTGGGCTTGATATGGAAGAGGCAGGGTGGCCTCTGTGACTGGCCTCCCTGCCCCTCCCCAAACTGTTTTCTGGCAGCGAATGGTCAAGAACCTGGAGAAGGAGCTGGTGCTGCTCAAGCAGGAGCTGGCCATCCATGACAGCCTGGTAAGGGGCTTGAGGCAGGGGTCTGGAGTGGGGGCTGGCTGGACTGCTAGAGGGGCTCGGGTCAGGGTACCAGGTGGGCAGAGGGACTGGGTGGACAGGAGCCAGATGGGTGGGAGGGCCAAGTAGGCAGGGAGACTTGGCCAGGGGGCCTGGGGAGCAGGAATGCCTGGAAGGCAGGGATCCTAGAAGAGCAGGAGGATGTGGGCAGGGGTGTCAGATATCAGGGAGCGGAGGCAGACAGTTGACAGGAGAACGAGGGGCAGGGGGCCAGGTGCCAGGCAGCTAGGGCAGGGGCAGATAGCATGATGGTCAAGGTCAGGGGAGGTGGGGCAGATTGGGCAGTGAGGGAGGGGGCGGCAGCAGAGGGCCCTGAGGGCAGAGAGTGGGAATGGGAGACCTCTGGTGGCTTGCCTGGGCCTGCTCATGGTCCAGGGGGGCTCTTGAGGCAGAGGCAGCCACCCTCTTCCCATGGCCCTCATGCTACAGAGTGTGCTGAGACTCAGCCAGCAGAGCCCCCCCTTGCTTGGAGTGGCAAGCCCATGTCAGGCGGCTCTCGAGACCCAGTTGTCCCTCTGTGACCCGAGCACCTGGCCAGGACCCAGTGGTCCTGCCCTGTGTCCAACCTCCCCTGAACGGTTCTCAGAATGACCCCTGCTGCCCCTGTTGGGCTCAGGTGTTTGGAGCTTGTTGACATGTTCTTCATCCTCCTCCAAGGCCAACCGTACCCTTGTGAACTATGATCCCATGGATGAAACCCAGATTGCTGAGATCAACTCCCAGGTGCGGAGGTACCTGGAGGGGACACTGGATGAGATTGACGTAAGGAGCCTTTCCTTGGGACCATGCCTTCCCTTTCCTGGGCATCCCCCCCTTGTGCTGTGCTGGCCTTGGAACTTCACACTGAGTGGGTACGGTGGGTATGGGGTGGGTGGTGCTGGACCCCTGGCCTCAGGCCCTACAGCCTACCGAGGACTCAGCATCCGTGTTTAGGGTTACAAGGATGGGTGTGCCCCTCAGAGTGGCCAGCAGCCTTGAACACACTTGACCACACAGGGGTGGTCCATCACCCCAGGCACAGGTGTGGTCCCTGGAGCCAGGCTGCCCGGATGACATCCCAGCTCAGTTGTCTCCTTGCTGAGTGACTTCAGCAAAACGCTCAACCTCCTGTACTTGGAGTGAGGAGGGAAACCAAAGTGGAATTAACTGAGCTGCCGCAGCTCAGGTGCTCAGCTGTGCTGGGCGGAGTGAGGTCATTCAAGGATGATGGTCATGCGGGCTGACAGGGCAGACATGCAGGGCCTGTGTTGGAGTAGGCCAAGGAGGAAGAGTCCGCAGCCACACAGGGAAGGGTCCTCAGAGAGAAGGGTGCGTTCTGTTTTTACAGTGCAGGCCAGCAAACCCCTCATCAGGGAGCTACATGGCAGATCACCCCCCCACCCTCACCCCAGGCCTGTTACTGTGGCAGCTATAACTGGCAGGCCTGGGACAACAGGGGTGGGCTCTTCTGGCCTTGGAGGAGGGTTAGTCCCAGAATGACCCTCCGGCAAGGGTAATGCTTGTGGTCTGTAGGGCCAAGAGGGAAGCCATTGGCCTTCCTCTAGCCACAGATGTGTGTGTGCCAAACAGAAAGTTCATAACGGAACCTTGTAGAAACAGGAGAGAGCTGAAGACCATAAATTTTATTAAAATTTTTTCTTAGTATTTTCGAGAACTAGAGTCATTTTAATTTTATAGAGACCTTCACTTAGAAAAGGTAATTTTTAAAGATTCATTTATTTGAGAGAGAGAGCGTGAGCATGCAAGCGTGGCAAAGGGAGAGGGAGAGAGAATCTCAAGCAGACTCCCCGCTGAGCATGGAGCCTGATACGGGGCTGCATCTCATGACCCTGAGATCACAGCCTGAGCCGAAACCAAGAGTCAGCTGTTTAACTGATTGCACCACTCAGGAGCTCCAGGGAAGGTCATTTTTATAACCTCAGTAAATACTTAGTTTGAAAACTATGAATCAATTGTTTCTCTGTTCTTTTTTTTGTTTTTTTAAGATTTTATTTATTCATTTGAGAGAGAGAGACAGAGCCAAGCAGGGGGAGAAGCAGAGGGAGAGGGAGAAGCAGGCTCCCCGCTGAGCTGGGAGCGCGACGCAGGGCTCAATCCCAGGACCTGGAAATCATGACCTGAGCTGAAGGCAGATGCCCAATTACTGAGCCACCCAGGCACCCGTTTCTCTGTTCTTGAGGAGATTTCAGATGTTCCATTCTTAAGGCAGATGATCAAGGGTTAGCCGAAGAGTCCTGGTTTCTCTACTAACCATAGACACACCCTCAGTCCTGTGCTGCCTAAAGCCCAACCTCTCTGCCTTGCTGTCTTCCCTCCAGATCATCAACCTGAGACAGATCCAGGAGGTGTTCAATCAGTTCCGGGTGGTGCTGAGGTAAGGGACCCCCACCCACCCACCTGACTCCTACATCAGGCTGTCATTTTCGTTTCCCATGGTCAAGGTGTGGCCTCTAAGCACACTGCCTTGTTTCTCATGGGTGAGAAGCCAGCTCAGAGTCCTTGGGGTGTGCCCAGGCCCTTGAGCTCTCAGATCCTCCAGCCCTCCCTTTCCCCTGGGGGAAGCCGGGAGGAGAGCCCTCCAATCAAGGACAGCTCAGAGAGGAAGTGGTCCCTGGTGGGTGTTTCCTGAGTTCATTAATTAGACGGGAGGTCCTTCTGGAGTACCAGCCCTGAGTGTGGCCAGAGCAGGGCATCGTGAATACTCCCTGTGCCCAACCCCCACTTCAGGAGTCATTTGCAGTTTATTTGGGTGCAGACACACCTGTAGACTGAGCAGCTCATGCTGGGTAGTAGCACAGACATGGGTCACATGATTCCCAAGGGCCTTGTAAAGATAGAACCTGGGTGGGAAAGCATGGTCCTGAGGCAGGCTTACAGTCCTTGTTAAAGTTTTGGAGCAGAAGTGCCTGGCACATAAGGGTGGCCACTGCGGATTTTAGGGCTGGACAGTGGGTGTGTGCCCTGAGGAATCGGGGTGTGGAATGGGCTTGTTTGGTCTAGTCTGGTTCATGATGAGGGTATGGTTCCATCCCAAGGGGCCACACCCAAATGACTTCTAATTCCCATACTTGGTTCTTGCTCTGGAAGGTTCAGCCTAGCGCCAAAGTGCAAGGTGTTCTCTCATTCTCTCTTTCAAGCCAACAGGAACAGGAGGTGGAGTCCACTTTGCGCAGGAAATACACCCTCATAGACAAGAATGACTTTGCCGCCATCTCTGCAGTCCAGAAGGTATGCATGGTTGCTTCTTGTTGACAGCATTCATGTCAGACTTTTTCCATCTCCAGACCTTTCCAGAAACAGCAGGTGTTCCGCATTAGAGCAGATCTGGGGTTGCAACAGATAATGGTAACACCAGGTTGAGTGGGACCCATGCAAGAGTAAACCATATATGAATTCAAAATGGTCTACAGTGTTGGAGACATGACCATAAACATGACCATAAACAAGACCAATTCCTGGAGTTAGGTTGGAGACGGGCCTTAAGATCCTCAAGGAGACACCAGACCATCGAGTGGATTTGATGTGGAACATGGACGTTGGTAGGGTGATCAGAGATAGTGCTGTTGGAGATAGCCTGAAGCTAGGCATGTGGGGTGAACATGCCCACCTGGGTACATGTACACTTGGGTCCCCCACGGGCCAAAACCCCTAATCTAACCCTCGGCCCTGTGGCTGGCCTCTCTCCAGGCAGGGCTTGTGGACGTTGATGGCCACCTAGTGGGTGAGCCTGATGGACAAGGCTTCGGACTCGGGGTCATCCCTTACTCTACCAAACCTGGGAAGAAATCCAAGTCCAAGAAGACGTTCAAAGAACAGCTCAGGTGAGGAACCTTCCTGTTGCTTTACCTGCTGAGCATCTGGCCCTCCTTGGCTGGTGAAAGAGAGGACACAAGCTAGTGTCTTCGCTACTGGGTGGTCCCAGTTGCTCGTATTGCCTGCCAATACTAGCAACATCTGTGGGGCCCAGGCTGTGCTGGTTACCTCTTGTCCACACAGCAACCCCAGGAGGTAGGAGTTCATGTCTCCATTTTACTGATGTAGATACCAAAGCTCGGAGAGGCGAAATCACTCCCAAGGTCACACCACTGAGGAGTGATAGAGTGGAAGAGAGAAGCCGGGCTAGCACCCCCCTACCCCCAGTACTACATGAGGAAACCACCCCTAACCGGAGTCCTTTTGTGACCCAGCTCCCTGGTACTCATGTCACCTAAAAACCCCAGTTCACCTTCCAGACAAGAATCATTTGCGTGTGCCGGGTAAGAGGAGTGTCAAGGCTCACTTAATGAGATGCCGTCCCTGGAAGATGCTGGTAGTGGTGGACGTGAACACAGGCTCTAGGAGGCTCCTCTCACTGAAGGGGTCACCTCGTGGGAGGCATGACAGCCTCTCTGTGCTTCCATTTCCTTCTCCCTAAATTGGGAATCCTAATAGTAGCTTCAAAGTCAGGGGGGTTATTGGGAAGATAAATGGGTGAAGGCAGTCCCTGTACCTAGAAAGTAGGCAGTGCGAATGTGGTGTTGCTGTTATTCCATCTGCTAAAGAAACACAGGCCAGAGCTGACTGTAGAAAACTGTTCCATGCAGAACAGGAGTCGGGTAGCAGGGGTTGCCGAGGCCCCTGGCCTCCTCCTGACAGCTCAGGCCGGCTCAGATGTGCCTCTCTGAGGAGGAAGACCCTGGGCACCATCACTTGGAGAGCGAGGGCAGCTACTTTCCTGGGGGTGGGTGTGGGCACTCGTGGAGGCGGGAGAGCAGGTCGTGGACTGGTCAGGGCAGCAGGGCAGACATGTCTTGCTTTACCTTTGGTCCGCAGACAGACCTACCCTGGGTGGGAGCTCTGCCACCTGTTCCCCGGGAGGCCTGTGTGATCAAGACCTCAGCAGCCCGGATGCTCCGGGAGCCTGTGGCCCGCCCCACAGGTCCAGCCGCTTTCAGACCTGGAGCCTGCCTAGTTTTCCCAGGTGTCTCCTGGCTGGGATGGGACTTCTGATGTCTGAGGGTTTGGAAATGTCACTCCCCTAAGTACCAGAGAGACCTTACTGCCCATGACTGAGCCCTGGGGCCTCCCTGCCTTCTCTTTCCAGCTCCTCAGCAAAAAAGGAAGGTGCCAGCAGCCCTGTGAGTGGCAAGGATTTGGAGGTCTCTACCTCCAAGACCCAGCTGACCCCGTCCTCCAAGGAGGGGGATGTCAAAGAGCTGCCTCTGAGGGACCGGGAGACCTCCAGCATTGAGCCTCTTCCCTCAGACTCCCCGAAGGAGGAATCACGCCCACCCAGGTAACACCTCATGCAAGTTCACCAGATCATTCAAAACCAGAGTGTGATCCTCAGCATGTCAAGAGCGCCTGCAGATAGATGAGAAATAAAATAGGGGATAATAGGCAAAGACTAGGAGCACAGTCAGAAAGAAGCAACGTGATGGCTTCTCCACAGGTGAAATGGTCCCACCTCAGGAGTCCTCCAATATACGCAGTTATACATGGAATCATTTTAGGCCCTTCAAATAGCAGTTATTTAAATAATTACGTTTACATTGAAAAAAATAACTAAAACGTTCAAAAGGCTCCAAATTCTCAAGGCATGAGACCCCTTCCTCTATAGCTCCTCAGTTCCTCTCCCTGGCGAGCCAACAATTGAGTGTCCAGTAATGTATCCTGAGGAAACAGAGATGTGGACAGAGATTTATGCAAACGGATGTTCATGGCATCATTACTTTAAAAAGCCAAAAACAATTTTGGGAAACACCTTCAGTAGCTAACATTACGGAAAAGGTACTAAGTGAATGATCATCTCTGCCCTTGGGATGTACGAGGATGTGCATGAAGAATTTTTTCCCCAGCAGGTGAACATTTCCAAGAACTCAGAGAAGTTGAAAGTACTGTACAGCAAACACCCACTTGATTCTACATTTAACACATTACTTACTTCATCATGCATCTGTCTTTCTCTCCATCCCTCTTATTTTTTGGATGCATTTTTTTTTTTTTTAACTTTTAAAAATTTTTTTATTATATTTTAAAGGTTTTATTTATTTATCTGAGAGAGAACTTGAGAGAGAGAGCACACACACAAGCAGTGGGGAGGGGGAGAGGGAGAGGGAGAAGCAGACTCCCTGCTGAGCAAGGAGCCCGATGCGAGACTCGATCCCAGGACGCTGGGATCATGACCTGAGCCGAAGGCAGACGCTTAACGACTGAGCCACCCAGGCGCCCCCTTTTTTTTTTTTAAGATTCATTGATTTGAGAGAGAGTGTGAGTGAGCAGGGGGAGGGACAGAGAGAGAGAATCCTGAAGCAGACTCCCTGCTTTGCAGGGAGCCCGACGCGGGGCTCGATCCCAGAACCCCAAGATCACGACCTGAACTAAAACCAAGAGCCAGCCATTCAACTGACTGAGCCCCCCAGGCGCCTCTTGATGCATTTCAAAGGAAGTTGCAGACAGTCCACACCCCCTGGCCCCCAACACTTCACCTTACATCTCATTAACCAGAGTTCTCAGAGTGCCTTAGAGCATGAAGGAATGCCTCTGTGAAAAATGTAAGATGTAAAATTATATCTACTGCATGACCTCAAACATTGTATCAAAGAAATCCCTGAAGGAGATGCACCAAGGTGTAGTTGCCAGTAGGTAGTGCATGGTTTTTTGCTTTGTTTTCTGTTTCCTATGCTTTTTCTTGCTGTCCTCACTTTCTGCTGTGGTCACGTGTCCTTGCGTGCGGGGAGAGACGGAGACCGGGGAGTGGTTCCTGCACAGGGTGCCTGGGAGTTCTGGCCTCCAGCCCACAGAAGCCCCCCGCTCCTCCCCCCGGGAAGAGAGGCGAGGTGCTGGGCTCTGGCTCCCCTTCCCCTCCCCTTCTGTCTTCAGGCCCAGTACCCCACCCCCCAAACCTGTGGCCTTTGAGGACTTTAAGAATGAGCGGGGCAGTGAGATCAACCGCATCTTCAAAGAGAACAAGTCCATCTTGAACGAGCGGAGGAAAAGGGCCAGTGAGACCACACAGCGCATCAATGCCATCAAGCGGGAGATGGACATGACCAAGGAGGCACTAAATTTTCAGAAGTCACTCCGGGAGAAGCAAGGTGAATGTGGTAGGAAGGTGGCCGGGGGCTGTGGGAGCTGAGTCATCCTGCTCTAAACAGGGCCGTCTTGGGCACAGGAGGACTGAGGTGGGTGGGGGCCAGCAGGGCATGTGGGAGTGTGGTCTTCACGCCTGGGTCATCATGTGGCTCTAGTCAGCCCCGGGGAGCCTTAGGCTCCTTCCCTGTCAGTCAGCCTTCGCCTGTGGGTCTCCCATTATTTTGTTATCTCAGACCTAAGTGCTGGGCCTTCTCCCTGATATGTGCTGTTCCCAGTGGAGAAGCAGGCCTTTGGTTTTATAGAGGCCTCCCCAAGGAGATGGGCAGCTGGTGACCCCCACAAGGGCCCTAGGTCCTCGTGTGGTCTCCTCACTGCCCAGGGTAGTCTGATTGGCATGGGGGTGCTGGTTAAGACACAAGAAACTGAGGAGGGAAAGAGAATATGGGTACCAGAGGGCCTAGGGAGTCATTGTCACTGAGATCATTCCTCATGCCAAATCCTCAACACCCATGCTGGCCTGGCAAAGTCTAGTCTCCTAAGGCAGGTGGTATGTGTGTGTGTGGGGGGGGGGGGGTCCTCAGGCTCAGAGAGCAGGGACCTCAGTGTGGGGAGGGTGCTCACTGGTTACCCTGACCCTGGTGCCCTTGTCCCAGTGGCAGACAGCGCTCAGCGCTGCCCTGAGGTGCCCTCACACCTTGAGTGTGTGGAGGACTTATCGGAGAGGGCTGATCAAACACAGACTCCTAGGCCCTGACTACTGGTTCTAACTCAGGCGATCTGGAGCAAGGCCCAGAACCTGCATTTTAATGAGTAACCATCCTGACTCTGGGGCCAGAGGTTCAGAAGCCACATTCTTGTTCACATTGCTGGTTCCATTGTCCTCCCGACAGGGCACATTGGAGGTTACTGGGCTTTCCCTGGCTAAATCACAGCCCTATTCCAGGCGGGCTTCCTAGGCGGTGATCCGTCGGGGCATCTGCAGATGTCATTTGTTTTATTTCTGCAGGCCAGGTGGCTCATCTCACAGTGAGATGTGCACTTTACTCATTTACGTCTCAGAGGGCAACTCCAAATTCGTGAGGCCACTTTGCTCATACTCTACAGACCAACTGTGACGCACTATTCCAGAGGGCTAAGCCTCCATGGATGTGGGCATGGGAGAGGGCTGGTCATGGTAGCTCCAGATAGGCCCCAACCCAGAACCTCCAGGGTGAAGATCTTACGGGACCAAGGACTTCTTTGTCCCTTCTGCCCACACCTTCTTAGACTATGCAACTTCTTATTACCTATTTACATATCTTAAATAATACATATTCATGCTATGCTGACATATCATTTATGCCTAAATATTCCTGAAAACAGATATTTTTAAGGAATGAGATGAAGATTAAACAAACAATATTTTAAAATAGTTAAAATTTGGGGGTGCCTGGCCGGCTCAGTCGGAAGAGCATATGACTTGATCTCAGGGTCTTGAGTTCGAGCCCCATGTTGGGTGTAGAGATTACGCAAATAAATAAAAACTTAAAATGAAATAAAATATTTAAAATTTTATCTATCAGTATAAAAACATTTTTTTAAAGATTTTATTTGAGAGAGAGAGAGTGAGCACAAGTGGGGGGCAGAGGGAGAGGGAGAAGCAGGCTCCCTGCTGAGCAGGGAGCCTGATGTGTGGGGCTCAATCCCAGGACCCTGGGATCATGACCTGAGCGGAAGGCAGACGCTTAACTGACTGAGCCACCCAGGTGCCCAAAAACACACATTTTTGCTCTTTCCCCCCAACATGAGTTGTTTTCCCATTGGTTGTTAAAATACTAAATAAAATACTTTTATCTTGAGGGAATAGATCAGGTAAATTTGTTTTTTGATTCATTTTGATTGATAGCCACTTATTGGCCCAGCCAGGTCAGCAAATTTGGCATGTTAATTAGTGTTTTGTGAAAGAAAAATGAAAAATCATTTTAGGTTCAACTCTTTGAAGTTTTTTCCTTGGCAATAATCCAAGAACCCCCCGGTGGGACACAAGGTGTTCACGGTCCCTCCCCGTGTCATCAGAATACTGTAAAGACTTTACTCTGTAAAGGACTTGTGTCTATCACAGTGACCACACTGGGGACTGCCCACAGCACACAGACCAGGCCGCTCTGCAGTGAAGGGGAGGGACCTGGGGGGGGGCCACTCTGTACCCTCCCTCTCTAGACTTCCTTAATTGGGACCAATTCAAGATTCTAATTGCCTGTCCATAAATGGTGTGACAGTGTACCTTAATTTTTTCCCACTGAGTATCAGTGGAAGGACACCTGGAGACTGCCTTATGCGCCTCCCCTCCTCACTCTCCGGGGTTCCCTAGGGTGGAAGCCCCACAGCCCTCGTGCGATTGACATGATGCCTGTGGTGAGCTTTCTAGGTCCCGTGGGCAGTGGCCGGCTGAGTGAATGGCTCCACAGACCATGTTATTTTGTCTTAACTCAGCAGCCCTCCTCTGACAGACCTTAAAAGCTCATGCCGAGACCATGAGATGACAGATAGCATGACTGACCCCTCTCCTCCTGGAGCCTCTTACAGCCTCTTGACATAATACAGATTTACGCGCTCTGTTCTTGATAACCTTGCCCAGGTGCCTTGTGGTACTAGCCCGTGGTGGCAGTTCATTTATATGACTCACAAAAAAGGTAGACATCCACTTAATTGAGGTGACTCCTGAACTATGTTTGGCCAGTAAGGTTTAAGACCAAAATAAGTGTGAAGCATGCGCCATCTCTACCCTCTCCCCTGCGCACGCCTCCTGTTCTTAAAGTTGCCCTTGTGGCCCCCTCTGAGCTGAACTCCCTCTTCCGGTGAGACGTGGCCTGGTGGCCTGGCCTCCTCGTGCTTTGCCCACCCCGGCCCCACAGCCCAGCCCTTCCTCTGGTGTCTGGTCTTCGTGTTTTGCCAGCATTTTGTTCCCTCTTTCCAGAATTCCTCCCTCCCCACGCCCCAAGTGAACACCTCATTCTCTGACCTCCTCTGTCCCTGCAGGCGAGTACGAGAACAAGGGGCTGATGATCATTGACGAGGAGGAATTCCTGATGATCCTGAAGCTCAAAGACCTCAAGAAGCAGTACCGGGCTGAGTATCAGGACCTGCGTGACCTCAGGGCTGAGATCCAGTACTGCCAGCACTTGGTGGATCAGTGTCGCCACCGCCTGCTCACGGGTGTGCCATTTGGGAAGGTCGGCCGGCCACCTGATGTCCCGGGAGGCAGAGGGCAAGGCTACCACCTGGGTTCTCGAAGCGGCTTCAGAGCTTCTCTCTGACAGCTGGGGCTGGACAGGGGCTTTGAAGTGTTTCCAGGACTCTGAGAGCTGGAGAGGGAGACAGGAAAGGGTGAGACCCTAGAACAGGAAGCAAAGAAGAGGGTGAGCCTGTGACAGGCACACACACCGGCTTTACCTGCTTCCTCAGGGCCTCCCCAACACCTCACAGTGCTGTCTTCCTGCCTCCTTGCAGAATTTGATATCTGGTACAACGAGTCCTTCTTCATCCCTGAGGACATGCAAGTGTCGCTGAAGCCAACTAGTGGCATCCGGCCAGGCATGGTGCCTATCAGCAGGCTCGTGGCTCTGGTGAGTGGCACAGGGGCCGGCGTGGGGACAGTGGATGAGCACAGGTTGGTGGGCAGTACCCTTTGTCCTCTGTTTTCTCCACAAACATGGCCGTGTATAGGCTGCTCCCAGCCTCTCCCACGGCTGGCCCAGGCAGATGGACAGGTCCAGGTCTCCCCAGTTATGGAGGATGGGGACACAGAAAACATCACTTGCTATTGCCACCTTTCTGGGGTGGCTCATCCTGCCCAGGTGGCAGCTACAGGATGTCTGGCAAATATGGGACCAGGGGTTGTGAGCTACCCTGCATGGGGGTTTACAAACCCTGCAAGGGGCTGCCCTGATGCCCCCCCGCCAGGCCCTGTCAGGGAAGTTCCTAACAATGGCAGGCGGAAGGGACTATGCTGAGTTGAGCCTCCCCTAGGGAGAAGATGACCAGGACAAGTTCAGCCAGCTGCAGCAGATGATGCTGCCAGAGGGCCCTGACTCCATCTCCTTCTACAATGCCAAAGTCAAGACAGAACAGAAGGTAACTGGGCAGGGGGCGGGGGGGGGGTTCATGTCTCCAGGAAGGTGGGGCCTCAGAGATCACATTATTAGGACACCCAAGATCACACTTCCCACTTTGGAGAGGCAAAGAAGGAATATGCCAGCCAAGGGAAATACAGAGTCACCCAGAGTCAGTGGGTATCTTCTGCCAACTCTACAGAGTCCTAGATTGGGTTAAATCCAGCAGGGGCCCTACAGACCCCAAGATGGTTATTGGGAGCTAAGCTGGCCCATGTGTGGTTCACAGCCCAGGGTAGGGTCTGGGAATCTCCTGAGACCACTGGGAATCTCCTGACACCACTGGGAATCTCCTGGGACCACTGCCTGTTGGGGACCGCCTCTCCAGTGGGGGCCACCACAAATAGGAGGCAGGGGACAGAGAACCACATGCAGCTGAGGCAAAGCTAGACAGGGTGTTGGCCACAGGCTGGGCCTGCACTCTCCTCCCTAAGCAGGTTGGGCCAGAGCAGAGAGGCTTGTTCTGAGGCTCATTCTGGAGCCAGAACACAGAGAGCCCATGGTGTGCCCATAGGCTATTCTTTTTATTTTTTTTAAGATTTTATTTATTTGAGGGGCGCCTGGGTGGCTCAGTTGGTTAAGCAACTGCCTTCGGCTCAGGTCATGATCCTGGAGTCCCAGGATCGAGTACCGCATCGGGCTGCCTGCTCAGCAGGGAGCCTGCTTCTCCCTCTGACCCTCCCCCCCTCATGCTCTCTCTCTCTCTCATTCTCTCTCTCAAATAAATAAATAAAATCTTAAAAAAAAAAAGATTTTATTTATTTGAGAGAAAGAGCATGAGTGGGTGTGGAGGGGGAGGGGCAGAGAGAGAGGGAGAAGCAGACTCCCCACTGAGCAGGGAGCCCAGTAGGGCTCTATCCCAGGACTCTGAGATCATGACCTGAGCCTAAGGCAGATGCTTAACCGACTGAGCCACCCAGGCGGCACCCACAGGCCATTCTTACACAGCAGGTAGCAGGTGCACATGGGGAGATTGCCAAAGGGAGCACATCCTTTAAAAAATATAAATACAAATACCCAGTCCCCCATCCTCTCTGACAGGGAACCCCTGTCACTTGTTTCTTGTGTTCCCATTGCGCATTGTGCTGTATCTTGCCTTTCCCACTAAATAGTGTATCCTGAAGATCATTCCATTTCTTTTTTTTCTTAAAGCTGTATACTAGTACTCCACTGTGAGGATGTATCAAAATGTACTTAACCCATCTCATATTGAGGAACATTTGGGCAGTTCCGTTTGTTTACAGTACCAATATTGTGATAACCTTGTACAAGTGCGAATTCACATGAGTGAATATATGTGAAAGTTAAGTTTTGTAGAAGTGAATTTTTTGGTCACAAGGACATGTGTACTTATTTTTTTTTAAAGATTTTATTTATTTATTTGACAGAGAGAGACACAGCGAGAGAGGGAACACGAGCAGGGGGAGGGAGAGGGAGAAGTAGGAGAGGGAGAAGCAGGCTTCCCGTGGAGCAGGGAGCCTGATGCGGGGCTCGATCCCAGGACCCCGGGATCATGACCTGAGCCGAAGGCAGACACTTAACGACTGAGCCACCCAGACGCCCTGGACATGTGTACTTTTAATGGATGGTGCCAGATCACCTGCTTAGAGCTGGACCCATCTGTACCTCCACAGCTTCACCACAAGATATATTATCCTGCTTTTTGTTTTTTTCCAATTTGAAAGGAGAAAATGGCCTCTCAGGGGAGGTTTAATTTATATTTCTGTTATTATAAATGAAGTTGAGCTTCTCATATGTTTAAGTGCCATTTTAATTTCTTTTCCTGTAAATTGCCTATCTGTATTTTTGCCTATTTTTCTATCGTTTTTTGGTCTTTATTCTTATTAATTTGTAGGAAGTCTTGATATACTGGGAAGATTGGCTCTTTATGATATGAGCTGCAAATATTTTCCCGTTTGTCATTTCTCTTTTGTGTTTAACTCTGGTTTGTTGTAGTTATTCTGTTGGGTTTTTTTTAAGATTTTATTTATTTATTTGAGAGAAAGAGAGAGCATGCATGAGTGGGGGGAGGGGCAGAGGGAGAGGGAGAAGCAGACTCCTTGCTGAGCAGGGAGCCTGACGCAGGGCTATAAGTCTGTCTTTATGCCAGTACTATGTCTTGGTTACTGTAGATTTGTAGTTAGTTTTGAAATTGCAAAGAATGAATTCTCCATCTTTGTTCTTTTTTTTTCAAGATTGTTTTGACTATTCAGGGTTCCTTGTATTTCCATACAAATTTTCAGACCAGCTTGTCAGTTTATGCAAAGAAGCCAGCTGGGACCAGGGTTGTGTTGAATTTATAGATTACTTTGGGGAATATTGCCATCCTAACAATATTAAGTCTTCAAATCCATGAACATAGGCTATCTTTCTATTTGCTTAAGTCTTCAATTTCTTTCAGTGGAGTTTTGTACTTCTCAGAGTTTAAGTTTTGTACTTAAAAAAAAATTTATTCCCAAGTATTTTATTCTTTTTGATGCTATTATGAATGGAATTGTATTTTAAATTTCATTTTTGGATTGTTCATTGTATTTGTATAGAAATACAGTTGGTTTTTGTATAATGATTTGGTATTCCATCACCTTGCTAAACTCATTTATTTATTTATTTATTTATTTTTTGTTGAACTCATTTATTAATTCTAATAGTTTTTTAGTGGATTCCTTAGGACTTTATGCATATAAGATCATGTCATCTACAAATACAAATAGTTTTACTTCTTCCTTTCCAATCCGATGCCTTTTATGTCTTTTTCTTGCCTAATTTTCCTGGCTAGAACCTCTGGTACAAAGTTGAAATAAGAGGTGAAAGTTGCCATCTTTGTCTTGTTTCTGACCTCAGGGGAAGGTATTCATTCTCTCACTCTTAAGTATGATGTTAGCTGTGGGGTTTTCCTAGAAAAGAAGAGTCGTAGAGCAGCACTTCTCACTCTGCCGTGCACATGAATCACCAGGCTGTTAGAATACAGAGTCTGACGCAGCAGCCCTGGGGCGGAGCCTGAGATTCTGCTTTTCTGATAAGCTCCTAGATGATGCCTGTGTGGCTAGTCCAGGGAACACCCTCTGAGCAACACTCTTTGAAGTTCATTATTAGGGGGCACCTGGCTGGCTCAGAAGAGCATGCAACTCTTGATCTCGGGGTTGTGAGTTTGAGCCCTGCATGGGGTGTAGAGATTACTTAAATAAATAAAAAACTTTAAAAAAATGAAGTTCCTTCTTAGAACCTTTCTTTTATCAGGGTGAAAAAGTTCTCTTCTGTACCTAGTTCATTGAGTATTTTTATCAGGAAGGGATATTGGAGCCTTATCTTTTTGAATACTGTCTTTTTATTTTTATTCTCTCTTCTAGGATTCTGATTAGATGCATATTAGACTTTCTCATTATGTCCTCTGTATCTCTTAAAATCAGTCATTTCTTCCAGCTCCTCATCTCTATACTGTAATTTGGGTAATTTCTTTACATTCCTGTTTCAGTTTATTAACGCCCTCTTCAGCTATGTCTAATCAGCCATGTCTAAAAATTCTATTTGGTTCTTCTTCAAATTTACTTGGTCATTTTTTTTTTTAAAGATTTTATTTATTTATTTGCGAGAGAATGAGAGAGAGAGAGCATGAGAGGGGGGAGGGTCAGAGGGAGAAGCAGACTCCCTGCCGAGCAGGAAGCCCGATGCGGGACTCGATCTTGGGACTCCAGGATCATGACCTGAGCCGAAGGCAGTCACTTAACCAACTGAGCCACCCAGGCGCCCTACTTGGTCATTTTTTATAAACTCTTATTTCATGCTTTTTTAAAAAAATAACTTTGAGATAGGGGTGCCTAGGTGGCTCAGTCATTAAGTGTCTGCCTTCAGCTTAGGTCATGATCCCAGGGTCCTGGGATTGAACCCATATCGGGCTCCCTGCTCGGCGGGAAGTCTGCTTCTCCCTCTCTCTCTCACTGTGTCTCTCTCTGTCAAATAAATAAGTAAAATCTTAAAAAAAAAATAACTTTGAGATGTAATTTATATACCATACAATTCACCCATTTAAAGTGTACAATTCAAAAATAAATAAATAAATAAAGTGTACAATTCAGTGGTTTTTCATATACCCACAGTTAAATGCAACCATAACCACAGTGAATTTTAGAACATTTTATTCTTTGTTTTTTTACTTCTAAATATTTCAGTGTTTATTTTTTAAGAACAAGTACATTCTCTTACATAATCATGATATAGTAGTTGAAATCAGGAAAATTAACAATGATGCAACTATATTATTTAATCCAAAGTCCATATTCAGCTTTTGCAGTTGTCCTAATGATGTCCTTTATGATTATTCTCCCTTCCCACCCTGTCCAGGATCCGGTCTAGAATCATGCATTACATTTAGTTGCCATGTCTCCTTTAATCTAGAACAATTCCTCAGTCTTTTCTTGTGTATGATTTTTATATTTTTGAAGAGTCCAGGACAGTTTTTTTGGTTGAATGTCCCTCAGTTTAGGTTTGTGTGATATTTTCTCGTGATTTAAATTCAAGTTAAGCATTTTGGGCAGGAATACCACAGAAATGATGTTACATACTTCATGGTACATCGTATCAGGAGGTGCCTTAGTCAGTTTGGGATGCTATAACAAAATACCATAGGCTTGGATCTTAAACAATAGACATTTCTTTCTCATGGTTCTAGAGGCTGAGAAGTCCAAGATCAAGGTGCTGGCAGATTTGCTTCTTGGTGAAGGCCTTCTTCCTGGCTTGTAAACAACCATCTTCTTGCTGTGTGCTCACATGGCTTTCCTAGGCATGTGTTTGTGGAGAGAGAGAGAGAGAGCTGTCTCTCTCTCTCTCTTCCTTTCTTTATAAGGACACTAAACCATCATGAGGAGCTCCACCCTCATGGCTTCATCTAAATCTAATTACCTCCCAAAGTTTCCCACCTCTTAATACCATTACAGTGGGGATTAAGGCTTCAACAAATGTGTTTTGAGGGAATAGAAACAGTCTGTAACAGGGGGCACAAGATGTTGCTTTGTCCTATTATTGGTGAGGTTAATTTTGATCAGTTGGTTAAAGTCACCGTGTATGTTGAATAAGAGGACCACAGGTCTTTTATTTTATTTATAAAATTTTATTCCTTGTTGTAAATTGTTTACAACATGCAAAGTGATTTGCATGGTTGGCACCATGAATTTCTCTCTTGATGTTCCCGACAAACCTTGCGTTTTCTTTCATTACTTTCAAAGTCTCAGATAAACATTTAAATTCTAAATCATTCAACAGAGGAATCCTACATTTCTGTAGTCAGTGTTACATTCTCCCACCCTCCCCGAGTCTCTAGGAGAACTCTCTGCATTAGACATTTCTTCTGTTTAAGACATGCCCCTGCACACGCTTTATACACAGATGTTGCACTTGAGCCATTCCATCTTACATTTATTTAAACCTTTTCACATATATTTTTACACACAAAATAGACAGGATCAGATTTTTCAAGGTCAAAACGTTTTCCATTTTGCTGAATTTCTCTCATGGTAGCTTTTTTTTTTTTTTTTTTTAAGATTTTATTTATTTATTTGACAGAGAGAGACACAGCGAGAGAGGGAACACCAGCAGGGGGAGGGGGAGAAGGAGAAGCAGGCTCCCCGCAGAGCAGGGAGCTCGATGTGGGACTTGATCCCAGGACCCTGGGATCATGACCTGAGCCGAAGGCAGTCGCTTAACTGACTGAGCCACCCAGGCGCCCTCTCATGGTAGCTTTTATTCATGTGTGTGTTTAAATCGTAAGTTCATATTTGATTGACCTGCAGCTGTCGGACTCCCGAGTGCATAAGTGCATTCTCTCCCCCCTGACAGTGTTTGCACTGCTTTTGCAGTTAGCCATGGGGCATTGCCAACGCGGGACCATTTTAACCTCCTCCAAAAATTCCAACGTGAGGGGCACCTGGCTGGCTCAGTCGGTAGAGCACGAAACTCTTGATCTTGGGGTCATGAGTTTGAGCCCCATGTGTGGTGTAGAGTTTACTTAAAAAAAAATATTACAACTTGAGAAGGGATTAATATCCAGAATATATAGAGAACTTTTAAAACTCAAAAATGGGCAAAGAATAGACATTTCTCAAAAGAAAACCTATAGATGGACAGTACACACATGAAAAGATGCTCAAGGTCACAAATCATTAGGGAAAGGCAAATCGAAACTACAAGATAACCACCTCATACCCATTAGGATGGCAACTAATTGAAAGCCAGATAGAATAACAAGTGTTGGTGAGGACATGGAGACATTGGAGCCCTAGTGTGCGTGCTATGGGTGGGAATGTAAAATGGTACAGCCATTAAGTGAAACACGCCAGTCACCACAAGGCAAACACTATAGGATTCCACTCACGTGAGGTACTTGGAGTCGCCAAAATCAGAGACAGGAAAGAGAATGGCGGTTCCAGGGGCTGGGGGAGGGAAGGAATGGGGAGTTAGTGCTTAATGGTTATGGAGTTTCAGCATTGCAAGATGAAGAGTCAGGAGGATGGATGCTGGTGATGGTTGCACATTAGGAATGTATTTAATATCACTGAGCTGTACACTTAAAATGGCTACGAGGGTAAGTTTTATGTAGTGTGTATTTTGCCACAATAAAAACACTGGGGGGGGCGCCAAAAGAATTCCAGTTTAATGTAGGAGCTTCAGTTCTAGTCCCCCACGCTGTGGGGGGTCTGGATTCATACCCACATTTCCAGTTGGGTTTCCCATTCGCTTGCTTACTGCCCAGTGTTTCTATTTCCACACACTTTTCCCGCCTGCTTTCTGAGAGCCCAGCAGTGCATTAATAGGGAAGAATTTGTGAACATTTAGTTGGTTTGGGGAGGGAGGGCCCTCCAGAGTACGTGTGTGCCCACGCCTCTGCAGATAGAAACCTCTTCTTTTCTTTTTGAACCTAATTCTTGCCAGAAACTTTCAAGTGGGCCCTTGAAACATACATGTTTCCTTTTAAACCTGCCTGCCATACCCATTTTTTGGGGTGCCTGGATGGCTCAGTCGGTTAAGCATTTGCCTTTGGTTCAGGTCATGATCCCAGGGTCCTGGGATTGAGCCCCGCATTGGGCTCCCTGCTCAGCGGAGAGTTTGCTTCCCCCTCTCCCTCTGCCCCTCCCCCACCCCCGCTCATTCTTTCTCTTCTCTCTCTCAAATAATATCTTTTTAAAAAAATATGCCTGCCACACCATTTTAAAACAGTTTTACACACTTTTTTTTTTAAGTTTTTTTTTTTTTTTTTGACAGAGAGACACAGTGAGAGAGGGAACACAAGCAGGGGGAGTGGGAGAGGGAGAAGCAGGCTTCCCGCGGAGCAGGGAGCCTGACTCGGGACTTGATCCCAGGACCCTGGGATCATGACCTGAGCCAAAGGGAGACACTTAATGACTGAGCCACCCAGGCGCCCCAGTTTTACACACTTTCTTTAGGACAAAATAATGAAAGGGGATGAATGGAACATATTTCTCACAGAATTGGGACTGGTCAGAGGGCATCCTTGTTCCCAAACTGATGTTTGCAGGAAGAATGATGGGGTGGATGTAAATGGCATGGCTTCTGAGCCTTAAGTCTATATCTCCTAATCAATTCCTGTTTTCTCCTCTTTTCTGTGTCCAGCACAATTACTTGAAAACCATGATGGGCCTCCAGCAGGGACACAGGAAATAGGGACTAATCGCCAATACCTTAAAGGACAAGACTCCCAGGAACCCCTGCCTGCTCTATATGGGCTGCTAAACCACCTGCCCAGAGCTCCAAATGCTCTGCTCCGAGGCTGGGGTCCAGCACAGAGAACTCACGAGGGCCTGCCTGCCTCCCAACGCAAACATCCTTCACAGGACACCCTTGCTCATCTTCACAGAACACTTTTGGTTTCAGTTCACTGTCTTATATGCAAGGACAGGATAAACTAATTTTCCAGTCTGGACTTTTGATGCTCACTCAAGAACTTGCTTTTATTTCCTGTCCAGGAGGATGTCTTCCCTGTGTACAGGTGGGGTCAGAGCTGAGTCTCCTGTAAGAAGGTGAAAAAGTAGCTTAGCCACCCTCCTCCTGGCCCGGCTTTGTCCCACTGGCCAGCCCCTTTCCTTCTCTGGATGGACATCCTGGGGGTGAGCTGGGTCTGAGGAGCCCCACTTCTCACAGCTCCTTCAGGTCATAGGTTCATCAGGGCATCCTTCCTGTGCTCCTGAGCCAGTGAAGGCGGGAGGCCCTCCTTCCTCAGCTACCAGAAGACGAATGGGTTTAGGTGGAAATGGCTGAAGGGCAGATTTTTTTATCTCACAATAAGAAGAGGCTTAAAATGAGAGCAGTGTTACCATGAAGTTAGCAGGAAGAGCCCCACAGTAGGAGGCTCTCTGGCAAGGAGGTTACAGAACATGCACCGGATAGAAGGTTGAACTGGATGGCATTAGTCCAGAGACCGCGTGATTCTGACTTCAGCCCGTCAGTGAACAGATGGATGGGGGTTTGTGGAAGACAGAAAGTAGAAGAGCATCCTTAGGGTCTCTGCCCTCTTCCTTTTCAGCCCCTTTCTCTTTCACTGACTGATACACAATGATCCTAAAAGAGCTTTCAGAGACTTCTACTACGCCAAGGCTTCGCAGAGCAGCTTTGAAGTACCCAGCCTCATCCCCCTGGGTGACACACACGGGGACTGTCCCTGACCAGCACTAATGGTGTGCACACAGCCATGTTGGTCAGTCCTCATGTTTCCTTTGATTGTGGCCAAATAGACAAGTCTGCCCAGGCTCTGCCTACCCTCCCAGCTAGTGGAGGCCTTAGGCAGAGAGTTCGGATTCTTTCCTTTCTTGGCTGCCCCTGCTCTTACCAGGACTTATTGGGGGTTCCCAGGTCTTTGGGGCATCTCAGGAAAGAGGACATAGCAAAGAGGTTACATCATCTTGTTGGGGCCACAGGAAGCAACTGTTTGTGGCTTCACCAACCGCCTTTCCTTCTTTCCAGCAGGGCCACAGGCCGGAATGGCATGGCCCTGCGGACATCACTCCCTAGGATTCCTGGATGGCCAGTCTCGGGCCTGCTGGCCAGGGCGAGCTGGGCCTCTGTCACGGCAGTTGGGCACATTCGTCTTTAGCTCATTCATTACTACACAGGCCTCTTTGGCACAACGTGAAACAGGCAGTGGCCGGCGTAGGCAGAGCCACAGGAATAAGCCAGGATGGTGCTCGGTAGATCACCCTCCACACAAACTCCTCATAGGAGCAGATGCTCCCAACGTGACAGGGAGCTAGGGGGTATCATGTCCACTCAGATGGGCCTGTTGTTCTAGAAACTAGTTCCAAAATCACCCCTGAGGGGACTTCCAGTTCCATCGTGTGACAGATAAGATAACCTGACAACTCTACAAACAGAAATGCTGGCTCAAGTAGAAATTTTTATTTTTTATTATTTTTTAAAGATTTTATTTATTGGGTGCCTGCATGACTCAGTCGGTTAAGCGTCTGTCTTCGACTCAGGTCATGGTCCCAGGGTCCTGGGATCGAGCCCCGCATCGGGCTCCCTGCTCAACGGGAAGACTGCTTCTCCCTCTCCCACTCCCTCTGCTTGTGCTCTCTCTCTCTGTCAAATAAATACATAAAATCTTAAAAAAAAAAAAAAAAAGAATGCTTTAAAAAAAAAAGATTTTATGTATTTTTTTGACAGAGAGCGCACAAGCACGGGGAGGGAGAAGCAGGCTCAGGAAGCCCGACGTGGGGCTCTATCCCAGGACACTGGGATTGTGACCTGAGCCGAAGGCGGATGCTTAAGCAACTGAGCCGCTCAGGCACCTCTAGAAATTCTTTTAAATGCAAAGCTAAATTTGCAGGAAAGAAAGGGAACTGCCAGGCGCTGGAGAATTGAAAACCCAGAGTGGTCAGCATTTGACCTGGCTGTGGCTGCAGGGGATAGGAAGGTGTGTGAGCGTGTTGCTGCCCGTGAGTGTTAATGTCCACCTAAGTGTGAGAAATAAGACCTCGGCCCATGCCCCATTGGAAGTTGGAAGTGGGACCCTCTGCATAAAGCTGGCACTTTGAAGGCTTCATCCTTGAAGAGGGAAGCTAGAAAAAGTTTCCCCACTTTTGGGGGAACAGGTCCTGTGAGAATTTGCAACCATGCACAGGTTTGGGATTCAGATTTACATGGTGTGGTCCAGGAACCACTAGGCTGAGGAGTTAGCCTAAAAATTAGCCCAAGGCTGAAACACCTAGCAGGATCAAAAAAAATCTGCACCTGCCCTTTACCGAGCCATACAGCATTCCCACAAAACCCTAGTAAACAGGAGCTCCAAAGATTAAGCACACATGCGTGCCCATGTGGAAACAAGCTATCGTAGTGGAGGCACAATGAGAGCATGATCAGATAAATTATTGAATAAAGATTATACAACATATGTGTGTTTTAAATAAGGACAAAAGTAGGAATATGATAAAGGCCATCCAAATCACAGATTTTTAATTTTTTTTAAAAGATTTTATTTGAGAGAGAGAGCAAGAATGAGAGAGCTCACATAGGGAGAGGGAGAAGCAGACTCCCTGCTGAGCAGAGAGCTGGACACAGGGCTTGATCCCAGGACCTGAGATCATGACCTGAGCAGAAGGCAGACACTTAACCAACTGAGCCACTCAGGCGCCCCGATCACAGATTTTTTAAAAAAGCAGAACTTCTAGGAATGAAAAAATGTTCTAAAAGTTAAAATGACAGACTAGAAACAGCAAAAGAGAGAATTGATGACCTGGATGTTGGATCTGAAGAAGCTGCCTGGAATAGAGCATAGACGGATGGCAAGATAGGAAACTGAAAGTGTGGCTAAGAGACATGGTGGACAGAATGAGAAGCGCCAGTATACATGTAATCACAGATCCAGAGGCAGTCCCAGGGAGATCTTGTGCGCTCATCCAGTCTCCTGGCTTTAAGCGTCTATTCATATGCCAATTCTCAATCTTACACATCTAGCCTAGACTGCTCTCCTGAACTCCAAACCTGTAATAGCCACAGCTAACTTGGCATCTCCATTTGAATGTCTGTTAAGACATCTACAAATCAGGGGCACCTGGGTGGCTCAGTTAAGTCTCTGCCTTCGGCTCTGGTCATGATCTCAGGGTCCTGGGATGGAGCCCCATATTGGGCTCCTTGCTCATCGGGGAGTCTGCTGCTCCCTCTGACCCTCCTCCCTGCTTGTGCTCGCTCTCATTCTCTCTCTCTCTCTCTCTCTCTGTGTCTCAAAATCTTTAAAAAAAAAAAAAGACATCTACAAATCAGCATGTTTAAATATGCCCCTCCCACAGTCTCCCTTATCTCAGCCCAATTGCTCAGGCTAAATCCTTAGTTTAATACTAAACTCCTCTTTTCTTCTCACACCCCACATCAGATCTGTCTAATTCAATGGACTTCACCTTCCTACTGCATTAAAAATCTGACCGCTCCTCCCCACTTCTATTGCCCCGACTCTGATCCAAGCCACTGTTCTGTCTTGTCTGGATATTGCAGCAACTTCCTGTGTCCTCGATTCCTCCCCTGCTTTTCTATAGTCCATCTCCAGACCAGCTGCTTGGTTGATCTTTTTGAAATAGAAGTTCGACCACATCACACGTCTTTGCATTCTTCAAATGGTTCCTGTTCTCTCAGAGTGAAACCCAATTCCTTAAAACAGCTCGAAGGCCCTACGTGATCTTGCCTCTTGTGACTTGACTCTCTTCTCTTTTCTGCCCCTTTGCTCACTCTGCTCCAGCCATGTGGGCCTCCTCCCCTGTTCCTTAGACATGCCAGGCAGCTCCTGCCTCAGGACCTTCTTACCGGCTGTTTCTTCTGCCTGAAATCTCCCAGATGTCCTCATGGCTCACTCTGACTTCCTTCAAGTCTGCTTAAATGTCACCTTCTGTAGCAGATACCGTCAGGCCTTGATCATAGACCATTGCCCTTGCCATTCCTGCTAGTGGATTTTCCTACTGAAAGCATCTGCGACTTTCTACATAAAGGCTCTCTCAACCGTAGGGACTTACTTGCTGCAAAGGGGGCCCAAATGCCAGGGAGTTAACACATTGAGGAGCAACCCTCAACAAATGAGTTGGATGAGTATCCTAACCTCTCCCTTGGATGGGGCATCTCTTAGGCATGTTCACTACTTCCTGGGATGAACTTCACACAGATGAACCAAAGGAAAAAAAGATGGTTGCTATATTTAGTGGAATTATCAGTGAAATAATATCACAAAATATTTGAAGTAATGATATAATTTTTAATGATATATAACAGTATAATGAAAAGGATAAGATTGGACCAATATAGCACGCAAGGTTTCTTTCTGAAGTTTGGAGATTCAAGATAGGACAAAGAACTCAGGGTAGTCCTCCCTGTCCTCCATGATCTTTAATCTGGAGGGCTCAGACACCTCTATTACTGTTTCCTCTGGCATCGAATGGAGATTCCAATCCACTTACCCCCCTACCAGCTGGCCCCAGGGAGTCTCACTTTGGACTTAACTCTTGATAGTGGGCTGCATTTTTCTGAGGCAATACAATATAGTGGTAGAGCACAGGCTTTGGGCCAAGACCTATGAGTTTAAATTGGGACTCCATATCTTACTGGCGTGGGACCCTGGGCAAGTTGTCCAATTTCCCAGCCTTTGTTCATGTGTAAAACCAATGATTAATGACCCTGGGGCTGTGTCTGTCTAGTGCACAGCAGGGCCTCAACCAACTGAAACAGCCAGGACATTAACAATAATAAAGTGCCCAGCATTATGTCTTATAGATGGT